GCACCCCCAGGACGCAGGTAGAAACATGTCTATAAGCTCTGTTGCTGGTGTGACGGGCTCTGCTGCTATGGCCGCTGCTTCTCCGAACGGATCTTCCGAAGTTCTGCATCGAGGCGAGAACATGAGCGTACATCTCAACGCTATATTGTCTGGATTAGATTCAGTAGTTGAAGACTTCTCGCGATTGGTGGCGGAGAATAAACAGCGGAGATACATGCACCGCATGTCGACCATACGAGCACCATCTCCCATGACACATAGATTGTCTAAAAGGGTGTCGAGAATGAGTATGGGCATGGAATCTGATGGCGATGATGAATTCTTTGATGCAGAGGATGCTTTGAATGAAGCAGAGCGCGGGAAAGTTGTAATGCTAAACGACGATCAGCATGAGAATACACAAGACGAAGGGGCTGCCACGGATGATGACGAAAGTGATGCGGAAGATGACAGTTTTGACGAAAACAATAGGAGAGTCGGCGACAATCTAGCCCAAGAGGCCCAGGATGTTGTAGAGGAAGGAGGCGTTAGAAATTTAAAACCGCTGCCTTGTGAGCCAGTCAAGAGACGAGAGGTGGTGCCTCCTCCGACAGTTCTACCTCCAAGTTTAATTGGGTTCTTGAGAAAAAATGTGGGCAAGGATTTATCGACAATTGCTATGCCGGTATCTGCAAATGAACCTACAAGTCTCTTGCAGAGACTTGCAGAGCAATTGGAATATTCAGAGCTGCTCGATGACGCTGTGAATGCGCCGAAGGAACGAGGCGAAAGGCTACTGTATGTCGCCGCATTTGCAACGAGTTCGTTCTCCAATAGTAGAGTAAAGGATCGTTCGATCCGTAAACCATTCAATCCAATGTTAGGCGAGACATTTGAATTGGTCCGAGAAGATAAAGGTATGTAGATTTTCCGCCATGCTATGAAGATTTATCTAAACTAATTCACCTCATTTCTAGGTTTTCGTTTCATCGCTGAAAAGGTCTGTCACCGGCCTGTAATTATGGCCTGCCATGCCGAATCTCAACTCTGGTCATTCACACAATGCCCAATGCCAACCCAAAAGTTTTGGGGTAAATCTGCCGAACTCAATACGTCTGGTCGAGTACGCATTCACTTCCCAACAACCGGAGACTCTTATTCCTGGACCATTGCAACAAGCTTCCTTCGAAATATCATTGCAGGGGAGAAATATGTAGAGCCTGTGGGTACCATGACGATTTACCATGAAAATACTGGTGAGAAGGCTACAGTCACCTTCAAGGCGAACAAAGGAATGTTTGCCGGGAGAAGTGAAGATCTTACCATACAGGCCTTCAATGTCGATGGAGAACCTTATCCACTCTCGTTGGTTGGAAAGTGGACAGAGGAACTTATAATGCAGCCAGATAATAAAGTCATTTGGAGCGTGGGTGAACTTGTAGAAGCGGCAAATACGCGCTATGGATTCACTCGTTTCGCGGCCGCATTAAACGAGATCACACCAATCGAAGAAGGTCATATCCCGATTACTGATACGCGCCTTCGGCCTGATCAGAGGATGGTAGAAGAAGGAAGACTAGACGAGGCAGAAGAAGAAAAGGTGCGGTTAGAAGAGGGGCAAAGACAACGTAGGAAGGAGATGGAAGACATTGGTGAACAATGGCAACCTAGGTGGTTCACTAAGGTGAGAGAATATGAGAACGAGGAGATATGGGGGATCCGGACAGGAGAAGATGGCTATTGGGAGCAAAGAGCTAAGGGTGAATGGAAAAATGTGCCCGAATTATTTTAGATGTTGGATAGATAAGTGGACTTTGGTTGGGAGAGATATTATTGTTTAGCGGTGATCTCATATGATTCCATATATCCGTATAGTTATCCTGTTTCAACTGGGGGTGTTCTGTATTTTCTTCTTTTTTTTTTACTTTCATTGCATTCCGGAACCGATTTTGATAGAGCGAGATCAGCACTTTGTATACTCAAAAAGTAGAACGTTGTTAGAAGTCCTGAGTGTACTAAGTGCGAAATGGACTGTACCCGTTGGTAAAAGAGAAATAAAATATTATTAGTCTTGATGCTTCGAGATATCCTTTTCAGCTTTAGTCTATTCACAGTCCCTCACTCGCTCAATCTTTTGAATCAGTGAACACTCACGAGAGCGTAGTCGTGCCAATTCATTTTCTAGCTCTTTGATTCCCCTTCTCTCCTCCTTATTCATAGGCTGTGCTGTGTTTTGACCCAATTCTCTATGCGTATGATCCTCGAAGCTGGTTAATTAGCATTCAGAGGCAATTACATTGTACAGTATATACGGCAGGATTGTTTGGTCCATCAGTTAGTGGTCTCTGTACTTGACATTGAAATGTATGTAGGTTCGGCAGAACGATATCGTAGAGAGCCTTGGCTACGGACCGGCCAATGCAGGCCTATAAATCAGGTAAGCTCGAGTGCAGTGCACTGGTTTATTCCAGCCGGGCGAGGATCACGTCCACGTCTTTGGCCGCAAAATCTTTGCAAAGAGCCAGAGCTGTAGAATACAGTTATGGGTTTCGGCTCTATAGCCAAGGATCTGGGTGAGGTTCATCGATGACGCTGGAAGTAGAAACTCTTCGCTCGTTGACTGGCCGACTTGAGAGAAATGATTCATGATCCACTTTCTTTTAAGGGTATTTTGACTGTGCGTGTTGGAGGAGTCTGGGCAAAGAGACTAGGTGATATGCAGTCTGCAAGTCCGTGTAGAACCCTGCTCAACGTTCTTCTCAACTGAGAGTCCGTAACCAACATACCGGTAGGTAATTCTGAATACAAGTACAGGCGTAGGTACGTAGTCTGATTATGGGGTTTTTGTTGTGATCAAGTCTAGCCCAGCCCGTGGGGCAACAAGTGTATTTTAAAACGTGGCCGCCAGACTGACTCTCTACGGATATCCACATACGTTGGGGAAAGACTTCACTTGTCTGTCGATTTGGAGCTGAGGCGGAGTGAACGCCAAATCAACCAAGAACCCCGGAAGTGGTTACGTCTTCTCGCCGATTCTTACATCCTAGGATCCTAACCATTTATGTATGTATGTGGGTTCTCACGGCACTTATTACCTCAAAGCTACTAACCACTATCGATTGGGCAACAGACTGCCAGGTTACTTGGATGGGCCAATGATCTAGATACCTCCAAACTCGAAAAATTATCGGGTGAATTGTATAGTCAGAAACCTGAGAGGTCCCATACCTTAAGGCTAAGGTAGGTAGAATTAGTATCATGTTGTCGAGGGAATGGTTCATAGAGGAGCTGGTGTTGAGCAAACATAATGTTCAAATCAGAAGGAGCCTCATTCAAAATCTAGTGAGGATCACCGATGACGGAAGTGAGCTGAGCACTATTTATTACCTTGAAGCTGGACACACATAAAAATACACCCTTTTATGATTGGTAAAGTAAGTGCCTTTACGGGGTCTCACTTCCGAGTCCAGAATAATCGTCTCACGCCAAAAGCCACCGGATTATCCTTTCAACACATATCTATACATACATAAATACATACAGCATGGCTAAGGATCATGTCCCTAGTGTACGTATAGCGAACGAGAGAAATCAACATACCTAAGCTAGAGAGCTGTTGGAAATAGTTGATGATATGTGGGACTGATAAGGCACGTGAGCGTCGTAAATGTGTATGGGAGGTTTCGGAATCGCGACTGGACCTCCTGCCGGCCGCGATCGTCAAAATGGTGTAAATGGCACATACCTATATTAGAACCCAATCAAGATAGCAACAAAGAACTCGGGGGTGAATCCGAGTGCAAGCTACCAATCTCTATTGTTACAGGCAGTTAATTACCTATGAAGGGAGTACTTACCTAGGCTAATGTGGAGGATTCAGTTCAATGGGAGCGAGCAGCGTGATCGTAAAATCTGTAAGTATGTAACCACCCATCATCATCAAGGCTGTAGCCTGGCATGGACAAGGATAAATAATAGGGATGGGTAGGTCAGTCAGGTGCCATTATACGGATAGGAACAAAAAGGAACTTAGCGGGCCTAGTAACAAGATATCCATAACCTCCACACCCAAGGTGTGTTTGTGTTTCTTCCAGTTTACCCCTCTGTAGGTAAATTTACTTACGGTGTGCTTCTTCTGCTTTTGGGAGCTCTTTCGACTTATGATCCCCGCGGGAAGATTGGAATCAGAACTGAGGGGTTCTCCATGAAATGTCCACATTCAAGGAATTCTTTATGTTGCACTTTCGAAGCTGTAGCCTGTAGCTATGGTTCTCTATCCGCCGTGTATCCGATAAGAGAGTGTTAATCAGTAGACAATCCTTGTAAATATAGACAGGAATGACTCTTAGGGGCTCAAATGACGCTAAATAGCCTTTTTTGGGCTAGCTTAGTGCTTTTTTATTGGGTGCAACGGAGTACTGCGGCGCCTCAATACTTGTGTGCGCAGGCAGACGTTACGTGAGGGCTGCTGTTGTTACTCTTCCCCCCGCCTTGAGAGTTTAGTTCCCCTCCTTTCCTCACTCATCACTGACTTGCTCTTTCTCCGCCTTATTCTCCTCCTCAGTTGTCTGAGAGAAGCGATTTGTTGCGGAGTTTATCGTGAATAACTTGGAAAAGAAAGCTACCGAACTAGAAGGCATATCGAGTTCGAGACGTCAGGTTTGGCTCCACGAGCTCTACCTCGCCCCTTCAAGACCTAGCTCCAACTACTACCTTATCCAGAGAACAACTTCAGTTCATAACCTCAACACAAACAGTCGCTTAGTGTGCGGGGCCAATTTGCCTCTTTCTGGCTGTGGGTTTTGGAATTTTAATTCGAGTAGCCTTTGTGCATCCGCTTATTTTTCACAACCATAACCATAGAAATCATACTTCTGTTGTGCTGCCTATACTCTTTCAACTGCCTATCCTGTCCCGAATAAACAACTCTCGTATTGACAACAAGAAACCGAGAATTAAACCAGCTCTTCCTTTGACTTATCTTAACGAGACCGTTGGGGAACCATACAGACCGTGACAAGATGTTTAGAGGTAAGTTTAGGAAGAGTTGTTAAGATTAGGAGGAGCGAGAAATAAAGAAAGGAAAAGAGAGTTTTTATATAGACAAACCACCGTGTTCTCTCCTTTTCCTCGTCAATATACCCTAGAGCTCGTCATCATACTTGGTTCGTCATATTTCGTAATTGAAAATGCTAACACAACTCACAGCTAACCTCCATTTACATCCACATCCAAACTCTCAATCGAAGCTTGTGTCAGTACCTCCGGGCGCTTTTCCAACCTTTACAAATATCACCAATAATGGCACGGACTTCTCCCGTACAATCATTCTGACGCCAGAAACACCCATCCAACCTATCGGTAGGAGTAGCAGAAACACCTCAAAGGGTTTGGTAGCCGACCGGAACAATGGTTTCTTTGAGTCAGCTGTGATGAGCCGATCGCATGCTGAAGTCCGGCTTATTTTGGAGCCAGAACGGAAGGTAGTATTTTATACTTGTTTGATGAATTGAATCGTTGTTTTCAAAAATTAAATGCCCATTTCTTTCTCCTACTCTGATTCTATTTGCCACAATCACTTCATTATTCGGTTACGTATTTCCTAAACTAGTTGATAGTGATCTCATTGGGGGAAAATTCCCTACCCCCTCTTATATGACGTGGACTTGGTTACTCACATCAACTACTAGATAATAATCAAAGACACCAAGTCTATGCATGGTACTTTTGTGAACGGATTACAACTCGTTGAAGAAGAAACTGCAGAGTTACGACAAGGTACTGAAGTCACTTTTGGCTGTGAAGTTACAAGAGGCGAAGAGGTTTTCCCCCCGAAAACATTTCGTTGTGATATTGTGTGGGAAGATATGACGTGAGTGTTTCCTTTCCCTAAATACTGAATAGAAGAATGCTGATGATTCTTTCAGTCCACCAAAGGCGCCCGAGACTTCAGCAGTGTTGGGCTTGGCCGAAACGGGCAAGATCCGTGGTTATGGAGTAACTGCGGAGGATCTCACTTATCACTCAGGAGAAGACTTCGAAGATGAAGAAGGTGGAGAGGAAGACGAGGAGGAAGAGGACGATGAGGATGCAGAAATGTCCTATCTAGATCTCCCGCCCTCTGATGAAGACAAGGCTTCTTCTTTCTTTGGTGAATCTTCTTCGCCCAGTTCTACAACTGGCTCACCCATAACACAAACCATAAAGCCTGCATATGTTGGAGCATCCACCTCAAAGGCACCTTACTACGCAGATGAAGATATCCCAGTTAGCCATGAGCGGAGCACAAAGGATATGTCAGTTGATGCCTTGACAAAAGATTCGGAGCGTGAGGAACAACTGAAGAGGAAAATCGAGGAGATGACATCTAGGAAAGAGAATGTCCCCGAACCCAATTACGATTTTGCTGGAATGCGAACAACTACCGGCCAAAGGGTTTCAATTGGAAGTTTAATGAACAAAACTGCGGACTCTAATGCTCATTACCAGGGCGAAAAGGACGGAAATTCTGGTAAGAGGAGCACCAGCAAATGTTTTTCTGAATGTTTGAATCCCTATGATCTGACGCTTTATGATGTTGAAGTCGAAATTATTCCGAAGGAGACATTTCTAGCCACAACCAAGTCTAAGGTTTCATCTGAATCAAAATCTAAGAAACCTATTATCATCGAAGATGATGACGTAGAGATGTTTTATGAGGAAGATGAATTGCACCTTATCGATACCAAAGATGGTGCTGAACAGGACGAGGATGAAGATGATGAAGATGAGCAGATGTCTTCTGAGGAAGAGGAAGAGAGAGATGAGGAGGAGGAGGAAGAGGACGAAGATGAGGAGGAGGAGGAAGAGGAGGAGGAGGAGGAAGGAGAAGAAAACGATAACGGTGAAGGCGAAGCAAAAAAGAGAGAGTCTTATCTTTGGCCGCCGAACTTTTATCCAGGTATCGACGCACGATCTCATGTAGAACCAAGGCCTATGACCCCCCCAACTATTGCGACAGCTTGTAAGACTTCGGCTGCCCCTCTCGATCCACTTCTGGCACCAATTCCCTCGAAACCGAGCTTCCGATCGCCTATTGATGAGTTAACTCACGCTGCCGCCGCTGCTGCTGCAATGCAGGCACCTACACCGCCCTCAATAGCTAAACTCCCGCCGCTATCAAAAATCCACACTGAGACTATAATTAAAAAGACTCCTTCTGGGGCTTCCCATATTCATTGGTTAGGGGACAATAAGACACCAACCCAGGGACCCTTCCCTCATTTCCCCGATATGGCACTTTGTAACATGGAACGCAAGAAGGAGTACTTTGAAGCAAGAGAAATCAACGGTACTCGGATAAGAGATACACGAACCACAAATGAGATTCACGCTATCTATTCCCAAACCCTTCGCTCGGGGTCGAAGTCACCTGCACAGCCATACATTGTTGATGGTGTTCCATGGGTACATGGTTCAAAGAGCAATGAAACACCAGAGGAAGCGGCATGTTTGTTCCCGGTAACTTCGGATTCTGACAAATACAATTCGATCAAGGGTATGGCCGATGAGGCCATGCCATCTCCACCGGCAACCGTAACTTCTCAGGCAAAGAAACTCTCAGAAGACGCCGTGCCAATTGTTGAGAAAAACAAGGAGGCTTTTGAAACCAGGTTTCCAAATTGGTGGCCGCAGTGCGAAGTGGCTTTCGACAATGAAGAAAACTCTGAAGTGCGCTGGGATGATGAAGAGATTGTGAATGACCAAGATGGGGAGTATGATGAAGAGGAAGACAACATGGAACAAGGCCCGGAAACTGTGGCCGAAGATGGTTTGGAAGAATCAAATTTTGAAGATGAATTTGATGAGGAATACGAGGATGACATTGAGTCCGAGTTTGAAGAGGAACAGCAGGATGATGATATTCGCACAGATTTGAGCGAGTATGGAGGTTCACACACACAGGCTCCGGCCATGTTTCAAAAGACGTTCAATATTGCTTCGTCCTCTGTCACATCTTCCGATAATTCGGGTTTTGGAAGGACAAGTGCATCCGAGGCTGGCAAGGGAGATTTTACCAAATCTCGTGGTTTCTCTATAAGCAATCTTGTAAACGAGAATACTGTCACCCCAAGACCTCAATTGGCAGCGACTGGTACCTTTTACCCTGCCCGAGCCCCCTTTAGGACGCTTCATCAAAGTCCCGAACAGCTTACACCCAAAAACACAGCAAATATTTCATCTCCTCAAATCAGGAAAGAGAATTCTATGGCTGATCTTCTTAACCCTACTTCACCGGCAGCGGGATCGAAGCGTAAGCATGAAGATATCTCTAGCATGGCCCAGGAGGAGCTGCAAGAGATGGGTTTTCTTGCTGGCGGCAACACCGGTACTCATAACCTTGATGAGACCGATGATGATCTTGAGCACCAGAAAGAGAACAAAGAAGAGGGATGGAAGAAGACACTTATTCCATCTACTAACCCTACAGAGAACGGTGATCCATCGAAGAAAGCTCCTACCGTAACAGCGAATACCGCAGTGCAGGTCTCTGCGGCCGATATTAAAATGGCAGGAGCGGGAGGTGAAGTTGATGCCGAGCCTCCTAGGAAGAGGGCGAAGACAGCTAGTAGCGGTCGCCAAATTGCGAAATTTGCTGCAACTGCTCTGGTCGGCGCTATCCTTGGGAGTGTTGGCATGTTTGCGGCCTTGGTTGCGACTGCCCCTGTGGACCTTTGAGTTGAGATTTTTCTATTAAATGTTTTGTTTTTGCTTTTCTGCTTCTTTTAGGTGGCTTTCTGGTTTTTAACATCTTTCTTTTATTTTTCTTATTGTAACCCCATCCATCCACAAAACTCACTGTGGCCTGCGTTTATGGCTGCTCTATCCTATTTATTGGACTTTTTCTTTTGTCTAGGTGACTGGTGTATTTGGGTTTTCCCTTCTTACGATTCTTACGTTTTCCAATATTCTCTTGGTCCTGCATTCACAGCTCTGAACAATGACAGGGACGCTGATACGGGTGGATATATGGACTAAACGAAATGGACTAACGGCTCTTGGTAAATGGAATATGGAATATGGTTATATGGCTCTGGAACGAGGCGGAGGAGAAGGGGGGACGGAGTCAGTATTTGGTATTATTCTTTCGTTTTTGTTTTTTTCCTTTATGAATGTATATGGGAAGAGTCTTTTTTTTTGAAATTGGTGTTGCAAAGGGTAACGGAAATGGAACTGGGGGGGAAATGGACATGGATATGGAAATGGGAAGGGAATAGTTTTAGCTGGGAGGTTTATGTTGACTTACTACTTGTTTTTCTTTCTTTTTCTCTTTGTGTTTTGCTTTTTTCTGTTCTCCAAAATGTTGAGGTTTTTAAAATGATTGTGTTCTGATGATATCCGGTTATGGTTGTGTTCTGGTGTTGCTGTTGAATATTGAATGTCATGCTTTGGTCATGCAATTGAGAACCTCGGAGATTGTAGGTTGGGCTCCGGCCGGTGGCTGAGCTTGAGGCGGAGAAAAAGGGTTATGCCTTCTCCGCTTCCCCGAGCTGGCCTTTGATCCTCCCCGTGGAACGGGGTAAAAAAAAAAGAACTAAGACTGGCACACCCTTTGGAAATTCATTAGCTGGCTAGCTGCTATGGCACTGGGAGCTCATGAATATCCCTCTGGCCGGCGGAATCTTGACGAGTCATGGGTGGCACAACATATTTTGGGGGTATGGTACTGTAGCTAGGTGCCGGTGGTGCGGAGTTGTTAGCTATCCATCCATCTAGCAGAAGAAGTCAATAGATCGAGTGGGAAATTTTGGGGGGGGGGGGCTTGTTCATGCGGGGAGGATGGACTGTATGTCGGTTTTGCGGAGTTCGTTCGTGGTGTCAGTAGTCTTCCGTGGTGGTTGGGTGTGTTCTGGGAAAGAACATTGAATGCATAAGGCATGTCACTAAGGTCGAGCTAGCATGCGGCACAGTGATCTACTGCATACATGAGCCCCATCATGGTTGTATGTAGCTGGGGTTGGGGTGTGAGAGTGATGCGCACTAGGGTGGGGAGACACTACATGTACATTTAGCTATAGGGAGAGTTGGGGGGGCTGCTGACATTGAACCTTAATTGCATTTAGGTTTGTCGGGACTCGGGAGCTAGTGCGGGTATGTAGGCTTTTGGGCTGGGTTGAGGACCGATGTTTTTTTTTACTACGGTAGAGTATATCTTGCTGCTAGGTAAATCAGGGTTCTTGGATGGGCCGAGTTTTGGGATGTAATGGGGGCTCTGTATCTGCCGCCGGTGTGGGTTCGACTTGGTGTTTGAAATGATATACATCGTATATAATCTATATCCTCACCGCCATTTAGCCCAAGATGCTGCACACTTCCAGCAAGAATACGCCCGACATCCTGGCAATTCCAACTGCCAAAGACTGCGGAATCTGCTTACTCGCACATGCAGCAGCTCACCCACTGGCCGCATGTGGTCACTAACAGCACGCACCGGAAATCCGGCACCGCAGATCCCCAGCAGAACCTGGCCGAGTGACACCTTGTGATTAACCGCGGCACGCACGGCTTCCGCCAACAACCATCTCGGCTTCCGTCTCCTTGATCATTACCCCCCAGATATATGTTATTACTAAACCCCTCCAAACACAACAATATAACCTCTCGCCCGGCCTACCATACCACACCCATACACACACACGCACACATACATATAAACCCCACCATCGCCCCACCACGAAAGATGATACGCCAACCCGCCGGCAGCCCCGCCGCCCTCACCCTCGATGTCAGCATCGACACCTTCACAATCGCGGGCATCAATGTGCACGTCTACGGCCTCGCGCAGCTGCCGCAGAGCGACAAGATGGACAACAGCATTGAGGTGTCGGCGCTGCATCTGCTGAACCCACGGCTGTGCGATCATACGTATATGGCGGGGATTGCGAAGACGGTTCTGGCGGACTTTTACCAGAAGCAGGCACAAGGAGTGATGGTGGGGAGGGGATTGATCTGTGTGGCGTTTGATCAGAGGAACCATGGGGAGCGGGAGGTACTGCTCTCTCTGCCCCATTCTACAATCTAGTCTACTCTACTCTACGTGATAATGGCATACTCATAAACTCCAAACTCCCCAGGTCAAGAACCTCGCCAACCAAGACTGGCGCTCCTCAAACCCCACCCACGCCGCCGACATGTTCAGCATCTACCACGGCACCTCCATGGACCTCTCCCAACTCATCACCTACCTGCCCACCTACCTCTTCCCACGGCGCCACTCCGGCTACACGCTAACCCAGCACCTCGTCGCCGGCGTCTCCCTCGGCGGCCACGCCGCCTACCTCTCGCTGCTCCACGAGCCGCGCATCACCGCCGGCGTCGTCGTCATCGGCTGCCCCGACTACCTCACACTCATGGCGCACCGGGCCGCGCGCTCCGGAATCGCGAGCGTGACGGGCGCGGCGCGCGAGTTCCCGGAGGACCTGGTGGGCGTGGTGAGGGGGGTGGATCCGGCGGCGCTGGGGGTGAAAGAGATTGTGAGGAGGGGGATGCTGGAGGGGAAGAAGGTGCTGACGTTGAGTGGGGGCGCGGATAGGCTGGTGCCGGTGGCATGTGCGGAGGGGTTTTTGAGGGAGGTGGGGGGCGCGAGGGAGAGGGGGGAGTGGAGGGGTGAGTGGAGGGATGTGGTGTGTGAGGGGGTGGGGCATGAGTGTACGCCGGAGATGGTGAGGGAGTTGAGTTCTGCGGTGAATAGGTGGGTAGAGGAGGCGGGGGAGGGGAATGGCGAGGGGAAAGGGGGGGAGGGGGTACAGTCGGTGTTGTAGATGGGGTGGCTGGACTAGAGGGAATTGACTTTTTCTTTGTTGGGGAGTCGTGGCTAACAGTTTGTTGTATTCCTTAACCATTGTGCCTGCCCAACTTCCTTAAAACCCCATTCATAGAAAACACGGATCATAGATCATTTCTCCCATGAGGTCTTGTAGGCAGACTCCAGTCCGCACTGTAGTAGCCAAAAAAACATCCAAACGCCAAGACACACCTTGAAAAGGTGGAAATATCACCCATATATTAGCTCATATAAGCATCCATCCAAGCAACTGAGCAGAGACCCTGGGGTAATAATCCCACAGACGATAATCAGGCACTCTTGTGGAGTACATACGTGCCCAGCTTCCCCCGCACAACATCAGCCCGCCAAGTAAGACACCTTAATTAACCAACCCGGTCCCGTGGGAATATTGCTTCAACGCACACGATCCCATTGCAACGTGGTGCCCAGCCGGCCCAGTCCTGCGCCAAGTATCAAGTCTGGGCAATGGGCATGGCAAAGCTTGGTTGGACAACGTACGGCCTGCTTTGCTTTTGCTTGTGTGAAGGAAAGGTATGTAAGGCTGTATGTGTTCAGTGCAATTGAATTGACTTACATCGAGGCAGTCCGGGGTGGCTACTTGTATGCATATGGGGTATGTGGGGTCGTTACCCGTTGAATGGCGCAATTCGGCATTGGCAATGGCTACATATATCGGCCGGCCTCGCCAGGCTTAAGCCTTGCAGTGTTTACTCCACAACCTCACGGTTGTCTACAAGTTATCAATACCCTTAAAATCTTATCAGATCGTATCCTCTTGGCACAGTTTTGGGGTTAGCTAAGGACATGGCCATATGGGCTAGCCTAGGATGTTCTCCGCTAGGTAGTACTAAGGTTTCCCCATGTGGAAGAAGCAATATATAATCACCTGGCCGGCCTGCTTGCCACATTTATTTGGGCTTCCCCGCGCGCGCAAGTGGGTGGGTATCGTGAGTAACTCAGTTGTCCTAGCTTAAATCCAAGGGCATTTCTCCTCTCGAGTCTGTCTCGAGTTCTATTATAAAAGCCAGCTGGCTTGAAACTTCACGATAATTTGGTTTTGCAGCTAGTTATTGTAATAAATGAAATTCTTTTGATTTCGTGGCCTTTAATTAAATACAGGCTTCCCAGGTACATACATTCGTCTCGAAACTTTTAAATCAGTACTAAAGTCCGATATCATTATAGTGAAAGATCGCTGTCTAGATCTTAGTTCTTCCGGCATCATCTAGGTCGGAGACAGTCTCCACATGTCCCGCCCCTCCCGCCTTCTCCGCCATCTCCACCTCCTCCGCCGCCCTCAACTTGTCACTCTGACCCTGGTCTTCACCCGCAGCTGCAGCAAGCTCGAAGTGACTTCCGCGCTGCTCAGTCCCGCATGCAATCCAGATAAACAAGAGCACGAAGATGACCGACATCATAGCCGCCTGGGTGCTGCCGTAGTCAGGGCGCTCCTCGCCGTGGATGTAGATGATCAACTTCTCGGAGATGGCAGACGCAACCTGAGCGGCAGGCGCAGCAATCATATTCCCTAGCTGATAGGCGATACCGGGGAAGGACGAACGGAACTGTGGGGGCGCAAGCTCCTGGAGATGGATAGGGACGACACCCCAGGCGCCCTGAACCATGAATTGGATAAGGAAGGCGCCTAGAGTGAGGAGGCGCCAGTCGTTGGGGAGGACCCAGAGGGGGATTAGGCAAGCTCCGGCGAAGGTGGCGATCATAATGGTAAAACGGCGACCGAGGAATTGAGAGTAGTAACCGCAGATCTAAAAAGATTGGTTAGCTATGGGTTTATGTTGGGCCGTGAATAGGGTCTTACAGTTCCACCAACGAGAGCACCGGTTTTACCAATGATGGTTGCCTTAGATGACATCTCAGGTGAGAATCCCTTGGTCTGCTGCATGTAGGTTGGGTACATATCCTGCGAAGTGTGAGACATGCAGTTGAATAGTGCTATGGAAAGGATTCCCGTTAGCCTTGAACCCCTCAAGATGTAGGTATATTGCACTCATACCCATCATGACAATAGCATAAAGAGCTCTCTTCCAGTATTCCCTCATGATCTTTTTTCCATCCGCCAGGAAGAGCTTAACCTTCTGTTTTCCCTGCGGCCCTTCACGGTTCGCCTTTGCTTCAATGAACTGTCTAGATTCAGGGAAGAAGACACGGGCAATGGCTACGGCCATCGTAAGACCAGCGCCAATGTAGAACAGCACTTTCCAGCTGTGTGGGGAGCCGGGGACGATGTATAGGTTGAAGACTGCCGCAATCAAGTAACCAAGCGCATAACCTTGCTGCAAGATTCCTGAGAAAAGCCCTCTGGCTTCCATGGGCATATCTAGTAATGGTCGTTAGTAAAAACCGTAAGAATCTTCATGGATAGTAGAAGCATACTTTCAAGACCCATAGAGGCTGCAAGACCCCAGATACCACCCATCCCAATACCAAAGAGGGCACGGACCCCCAAGAACTCTGAGAATGTCCCACAGAACGCGGTGGCCAGCTGTAAGGCAGCAATAATAACCAAGTTGATGATCATCGGCCATTTACGCCCGTAGAGATCACCAGCAATTCCAAAGATCGCAGCACCCACAGAACGGAATAGTAGAGTCAATGTGATCGACGTTGCTATATGCTCTCTGTGTTGATCGTAATATACTGCCAACCTGGAGAGCGAGAGTGAGACTGTATGGAAATCATATCCATCCATAGTCCACGCCATCTATAAACTATCAGATTTTGTCATGTTTATATGAGAGGAGTAGTGTCACTTACCCAACCAACAAAGAAAAAGAGATAGTTCATGGCCGTTGGTCGACAAACAGTCCTAATAGGATTTTCGACCTTCGTCCTAGGAAGCTTGCCATAAACGGTCTCTCCATGTTCGTTGATGTAGTGACCTTCACCCGTGGTGAAGATTTCTTTGATGTGCTTCCAAATTCTCGACATTCTTGAAGGTTCAGCCATGATTGGTGATCTTTTTGATGTCTCACTCGGTTTTACTCGGTGATGTGAGATAGGATGAGGAGTATGAGCGGGCGGGAATCCGCGGGCTTTTGTAATGACCTGTTACTAGTGATATGAGATCATATGAACTTTCTTATTGATTTTGGCTATGTAGAACACTTACCCAAGCGGTCTAAGCTATGGCAGAACTATGAGACTACTCGAACCCCTGAAAATTGTGCTCCTCCACACAACTTACAATTCCTCATGCGTAAAACGTTTCTCCGATGTCATGGAGCTCAGGCGATATTATTCCCCGCATCCCATTCGTGGTGTTGCAGGGTGCAATAGGAGGATGTATTCTTGCCTGCAGTGGAACTACATATCCCACCCATGAAAAAATAAGGCGAGATCGTAGCCAAGGAGCATAAGTTCCCAATTCTGGGGCACGCTTCCGTTTTTTTAGTTGCTGCACTACTTTTGGTCGCTTACTTGCTTAAATGTACGCCCAGCTTCGGGACAGGCTCCGAATATGTAAACCCTCCGGAACTATGCAGACCAGCCGGAAACCTTCAGTTCTTCATTGATCAGAAAACCTGGACACAGATAAGCCTCCCCTCTGAATTCTCAGGTATCTCTTTCATAGATTATACTTACCATAAGGTTTATCCGGCTGGAACGAATAACCCACGAGGGATATAATTCCTTGTTTCACTGATGTCGAGGCTATCTTAATGGTTGGTACCACATTTCATGATAGTTGAGATATTAATACATGTATTATCATTTGACCTTACCCATCAAAATGAAATGTGAAGATCCTCTGCCTTGGATTTTTGACATCCCCACAGTTGTTCTGGAAGCCAAGCAAATGATCCCTTAGTTCATCGAGAGTACGAGTAGCCAAGGTTTGTTGTTTTCTCGCCTCTTACAGAGATTATCTTGTCATGAAAACACGGTAACTACAACTATGTAAGACGTCGCGCACCCATGCCCATCTTTAAACTTAATCTCTAATCGGATAGCTATCACTACGAACTTCCAATCTTGGTATCAGTACGGCCATTTTCCATGCACGATACTCTAAAAAAGAAGGCAGGAATGCGTACATGATCTTGTGATGATGGTTCGTAATGTTTTTCCGTGCGGGGGCGGTTGGGATTTCTCAGGATTCAGGATGGTCCAGCTGCAGTTTCAGCCTTGGTAGCCCCGAGTACTTTGGGTGAGGTTGAGTTTAAGCTTATGCATATATTAGGGAGGTGTAGATACTTGCTTACTTTGGAATAGCCGGTTTTTTTTTAATCAATTGCCAACCCTAAGCAAACGAAATGCTTTGTTATGTGAGAGAGGCTTGTGTTGGCCGAGAGTGCGCCGTTGCCGAGGTGCATATCGCGTTCAACAACACCAAGACTCCAGACTTCGGTCACCCACCTCTTCAATCAAAATATCTTTTTTGTTCAGGTGGAAAATGCGGGTGAGTTAATTTACTCTACACTCACAATTATGCTGTATGCTGTATGCTGTATGCTGTATTCTGTAAAGCTCACAAAGCCACTGACAATATCATGATCAGCATCTCTAGGTCTTGCTAAGGCCCCAAATGTCGCCCGAAAAAAACCGAATACCTAGACACCCGAGAAAAATTGCTCTGTGCCATCGGTCTACAGATATAGACCTTGGCGAGGTTGTTGTGTAGAGTACGGGCGAAAGGGTCGGTCGGCTTGGGCACACCGAGGCGCCTGCGGTCTTGGTATGTGGGGTACCCGAAACTCTTAACTCGCCAAGTACATAAAGCCACAGAATCATTCCACCAGAGATAGAGGGGACTTCTCGCCGAGATTTTTTGACTGCACTTTCTCACCGCCCAGAGCTGTCGGTACGGGGAAATATCGGGCAAAGCTGTCAAGCCAAAGTAAAAAAAAGCCTCCTTGGAGCAACCACCGTTATCGATCCGAGATCGTGACCCGTGAGACACCTGACGGAGACTGCCCCGTCCAAACCTGGTCCACTGTCTGCTTAGGCTTAGGTTACTGATCAAATTTATGCATAACTCTAGACTGATCTACCATGTGTGGAAAGCGGGGTCTTGGGACATGATAGGTCGCAACGTTAAAGATGCTGGCAAAAACGTGGGATCATGGGGTATCACTCGACCCATGCAAACTCAACACACAACCCTACTTTCCCCGGACTGTGAGTTTATCTCAAATAGGAAGGCATCTTCTCAGCAAATTTTGCAAATAACAAGCATGAACTCCACAATCAGCAGTTTAGTCGGTCACTAGGCCGATCGTAACGTTAATTCTTTCCTCGAAACAGGGAAGAATTGTAGGTGATCCGATTACTACCAGGCTACCAAGGAATCGGGGACCCCACTACAAGCTAAGGTTTTGGAGCATTTGTTGCCGCCAATTAATTAGAATTTCCGGGGAATGCCGGGTGAATTTGAGATTGAAATGGTGGACTACGCACTACAAGTTCTGTAGAACGGGTAAAGACTACGATTATTATATTTGAGAAATACGAACATACAAGCGAGATGGAGATATCCGGGACGGTTGGGGGTAGGTATACGTACCCAACAATCGCTCGATAAATACACTCTATCATGATTCATGCCTCTCCCAGGTTTCAGCAATAACCTTTAAAATGAGCACATATTTGAATTCTGGGCGTACATAGTATATATGCCGAAGTAAATGCCGGAGTAAATACCGGTCAAGGCCAAGACATTAACTAATCTACTATTTGAAACTATTTACGATATGAATGTTCGTTCGTTCGTTATTCTTACACCACCAGAGCAAAAAACGGGATAGAATCACCGCAGTACTAGATGTAGTGTTGCAGAGTTAAACGGCAAATACCGAATCAAAGAACAAACTCTGGATAGAGCACGAGTTTAGCAGAAAGTCGAGCACTAAGTACTTCCACAAAAGTTCCTGCACAACTTATTGGCTACATGATTACTTCCTATTCGGTCCAACTCGTGCAGCTAAACATTCTGATATGTATAACGGACCTGGAGTCATTCTGTGCGTGTGCCTATAACCGGGTTAGTGAAATCTAAGGTAAATGTCAAATTCCTGCAGCTATGAAACGTCATAACCTTTGTATACTTCTGCGGATGACAGATTTATTTCTGGAAATATCCAGCTAAAGAGCTTTAATTGAAAGTAAAAAATCCCTCTACCTACCCTATATTTATCAAAATTACAGTCGTGCCATCGAGCACTAAGCGGCTATAGTACTTAGGTTTTTCTATCTTATTTCATCCAATAATTATACAAAAGCTAAATACACACATGTAGGTACCGCGGCAATACTGTCGACATCTAGATGCACAAGTACTGGAGGGGTATTTCGAATATGAACCTCACCCGTTATTTGCCGATTGATGCTGCCGCTATTCTGTCCGTACTTTTTCTTATTGTACCTCATGTATCTCAGAGTCTCTTGGCTGCATAAATTTGAATATTTCTTTGGATACGTTAACCAACCCGAGTGTGATGAAAGACTTTAAGGGCACCCGTAATCTAACGGCATTTATACGAGACGGTCGGGGACATCGGGTGATAATTCCACCCATCAAGATTTGTATTACTTCAATACCGTAACTATGGGGGGCAACCTTCTTTGAAAATCGATAGCATCCAATCATTTCCCCAGATTATGTCAACATTACTAACATTTATCTTCAAGAGAAACCTCCCGACAAACCCCCCTACTAAAAAAGGAACCCGAGAAATCCACAATGCATCAAGCCCCAGCATAGGAAGCTGAAGTGGCTTTTTCATGACCATTTTTTGTCCTTATGGGCACCACATATCACATGATATATCGTTTCAGGGCGTTCATGAAGGTATGAAGAGACAGACCAGAAACGATATCTGAGCAGGGAAAAAAACAAGATAAGATATCGAAATTAACGACACACACGTAACCGGCTAAGTATTTGGCAAAAGGATTGCAGAGGGATTAAAACTGCAGGAAGGAAGACACAAGGGGCCGTCTAGGTATAGAAAAACAATGATATGGTGTATCTAGATGAGATGCTTGGATCTGTTTTACGAATAAGTATTAGCGCCTTTAGTGTCATTTTTTTGGAGTTACGATGAACTGACCTGAAATAAGCCCTCAGATAAACAACTTGCCAAGCCCCAAGTCCAACAAGTGTAGCCATGATAGAGAAGGCAAACCACTTCACACGCTCATTTGTCGACTCGTTGGTATCGCGCAGTTTTTGCTCGCGCGTTCGCAGGTACTCCATTTGACCGACAACCTCTGAAACAACCTCCTCGATGCGTCGCAACTCAATTTCGACAGGCTTGAGTTTCTCGGCAGCTTGAATGGCAGACCAGTCACGCGCATCAGCGCCAATATCAACATCAAGCTCAACCGAACGGGTTGGGCCATATGGGCGGCCTGGTGGTTCGAAGTATTATTAGCTCACATGATACGTAGGACTACTAGCTGAAGGAACAGGAATATACCATCATCGAGGTTGTTCTCAAAGCATACATCGAAGGCAGCATTGGCATGGGAAGTGAATGCCATTCTAGCTTCGCCGACAACATCTTTGGGACGTCCGTACTCATTCCCAACTGCATCTCTGATCTAACCACCCCCGAGAATTAGCTTTCGCGACCACTAATTCATCAGTCGGTAGGTAGTAAAACATACGTGAATGTTGACTTGCTGCCCATCACCCTTGTGTCCGCTCACAGTCGCCGTCACAACTACCAGTGTGTCCTTTGCGACAAAATTCCTGATGCATCTTTGTCGATGACCTCTAGGCTCGGCGGCGATGTCGAACTTGAGAGCTGATCCGACAACTGAGAAAAGCGAAACGGCCAATACGAGCAATGACGGTATACTTGTTGAGGGCTGCATATTTGAATTAAATAGCGAGACGAGTGGGGGTGAAATTGGTGAATCCTTATGTTTGATTTGAGATATTCGTGATCTATCGTAAAAGGAGGTTTCAACTTTGGGGATATGTGGTCACTCTAAACTACCCAACTAAAATTCTTGGGTGTGCTGGATGTGGCGGTGTGTATTGAGGCTAGTAATTATCAAGCCACAAAGCACGTGAACCGAGAACCGAGCTCCCGTCGCGTTTGTTATCGGGGATCTGGGCTTAGACAGCTCGCTCGACCTTCAGCTCGCGCTTGACAGACAACACTCTCAAATACCATTCTCAAATATCCCATTCCCCTCCACATTTATCCCCAATTTCAACAATGTCTCGCCCCAGAAGATCAAGGAATTTGCTTGTACCAATTGGCCTTACTGTTACGGCTGCTGTAGTTGGTTTGGGGCTCTACTACTGGCAACAAAACTCCTCCCCAGCTTCCTCCTCCAATGGCCCAGTGCCGCAAAATCAAGAACCGTCAGATCGTACTAGAGCGGGTGAAGAAGACGGACTAGACCAATCGCAAGCAAAGCAACGACCAAATCCTACGGGTTCAGGCAACAAGAAGACTGTCGTTGTAGTAGTCCGTGAGGGCGCCCCAGGACTTCTCTGGAATATACCAACTCCACTCAATCTCAATACCACAAACGTTTTTATCCTGGTCCACTCTCCAGAATCTGGTGGTAAACCGGAAAACGCGTACAAAGTTATAGGAAACATATTTCCGGCGGACTATCCTCGAGAGTATGTTTTGCCGTATACGATTGATGGGGCACTCCTGCCATTAATCCGACATCTGGCACCAGAAGTGGTATATATGGACGAATCCCTCGTTGGAGAAGATGCTGCGTCAGTAACAGGACTATTGGAGAACAATTGGGTGGGGGCGGTCGTCGTTGCTACTGGAGACCGCTCAGGGAGCAGTGGATGGCGTCAAAACGTGCAAAGATTTGGAAGGCGATGTGCGGTCGTCGACAGGAGCGGCATCAGGGGAGACTGGGCCGGAAGAGTAGGTTAAGGGCATGCTCTTCTATGACTGTGGCAGTATTGGAATGTAATCAGTGTGGGAACTAGCTTTGCGAGCTTTTTTCTCTTTTTGCAATCAGCGAAGTTAGCATGTTTGAATAGGCGCGGTTATTCAGAATAAGAATGTATTTATAGCAAGCGTACACCTACCTGCCATATATCAAGTATTCTGAGCCGCTGTCTACTTATTATGGGCTCTAAGAGATCCTAATCTCTAGGTAACAAACTGTCAAATACCTTGCATCTGGTAAAAGAAAACACGCAGCATGCTGATTTTTTACATCTGCATACGTATACCTAAATATTCAATCGGAGGTGACCATGATTCTATTTCTGCTCATCATATCCTATCTACCTGTAAAGTTCAGACTTCTGTGAAATAACGGTATTGCAATCGCAATTACAGTAATTACACCTTTTCAGATGATACAGATGAGACAATAGCTGACAGTTTGACAAGATAAGACGGTAGCTTACCATTCTATCCAAAGAAGGAGAAATGTCCCAAACCTCCAGGTTGATCTCAGGCCCCTGCTTCGCCAGTCATGTTCTGCGCATCATCTTTATATCCGCTTTTTCTTTCTTCGTTTGGACATGGCCTGTTTTTTCGAATCCACTACCCTGCAAAGACTATTTTGATGGGAAAGCTGTTTATCTACTCGATAGAGATAACCACCTGGTTCCACATTTTGTTGACACTGGATGTCATCTTTCCCGGAGACAGAATTCCCGCTGGAACGAAGAGTCCGACTTATCTAATACGGGTAATCGTTACAGCGTTCACCATCGAACCGGGAAGGCACTTATACCAGACATCTCCCAGATCAGTAGCGAGAAAGGGGATAAACTACTTTTGCTTGAGAGGACTGGCCACTCAACCTCAGGGATAACCAAAGATGTGGGTTGGGATGAAGATGAAGCAATCCTTGGGATCATGAGTAACCACTTGGTTCGATCAGAGCCTGCAACCCGTGCTAATACTGAATATGAAGATGGGAATTGGAGAGAAGAAGTCAATGCCTTCCATAGAGAAAATCTTGGGAAAGCTTGGGAAAGGGCACGTGAATCGATACGCCAGGCTGAAATGTTGCAATCAGCTAGCGAAACACTAGCGCCTTCCGTTTCATCCCCTCCGCGCCCGTACAGTAACTACACTGGGCAGCTTAATCACAGTTATTCCGCCGTTCCTAGTCCAAGTGTGGTCGTGGAGAAATCCCCTGCGATAATTACTCAGGGTGTTGATTCAAAACTACAGGATGACACTATGGAACCCTACGCAGAAAGCGATGATAATTTAGATTTTGTCCCGCTGATAATTATAACAACATCACCAGAGATGGGCGAAGAACCTGAACAGTTTTCGAACTTTGAGGAGCTCCCTGATTTTGAAGAGTTCTCCGATTTCGAAGAATTATTTGAGTCCGAAGAAGAATTATCCGAGTACAAAGAAGAATTATTTGAGGCAGAGGAATTATTTAGGTCCGAGGAGCCATTTGGGCCCGAAGAATTATATGAGTCCGGGGAATTATCTAAGGCCGAAGAATTATTTGAGCCCGGTGAATTTTTCGAGTCTAAAGAGCCACTAATTCTAGAGGAATCAGGCGATGATTTCAGTGTTGAAGCAGTCACTCTCAGTGGGGTTTCCGCTTTGCCCCCAATCAGTCATTATAGACCCTCCAAGAACTTCAACAAAGTTTTGGCGAAGGCAGTTGGCCTAGGCCTATTGATGGCTATACCCTCGCTCATTATCATGTGTGCCTTGTCAAGAAAAGGACAATATATCTGGATTCGAACAGTTAACATGAATGATCTCGGATTGCCAACCTCCGACCATGTTCGTTATGAAGGCGGATCTAGAGCTTCAGAAAATCTGAGTGTAATGGCATCTATAGAGGGTGGTGAGAATACAGGGGTCGTGTCGGGAGGGGTCTTCTCCGGCACTAATGGCTCTGGTATCTTAGAGAGACAAAATACCGGGCCCAATACTATGTCGGGGAGTACATCCAACCTTGAGAGCCTAGAAAGACCAGACATTGGATCCAGGCATGGTGTTGAAAGCGCGAATAGATCAGGTCTTGCTTCTAGACAGGGTTTGGATGGTGCAGATTTCTTCTTGGGGTCGATTGGGCCCGTTCCTGTTAGGAAGCCAGGGATTTTCCAGCGCTGGTTTGGCTGGGGCGTGGAGCATAATGATAACCTTGAAGAGACTTCATTGCATGCTTCTTCTTCTTCTACTAAACAAGGTAGTAAGATTCGTTCTAGCCGTGCTATTAGTAATGATAGAACACCCGATCCCAATCTTGTGAGTGAGGTTTGTGAGAGACTGATCCGCGAGCGTATGAGTCGACTGTCAACAATCCCTAGTGCTGGTGAGAACGAGGGTTCTGGTACTCACGAAGCAAGAGAATTGACATCAACATCGTCTATCCGAGCTCCTGTAACCGGCGGTGCATCAGGGACACAGGGTAGTGCAGTGAAACGAAATCCTCATGGGATCCTAAAACCACCTGGAAATAGTTATGGACCAGATGTCTCAGGAGAATTCCACGTCGCTGATCATGGTGATAGTAGCACCCGTGAAGAGAATCAAGCGGAAGAAGCAGATAGCGAGGGAAGCAGCTTGAAAGGAAAAACCTCTCGGCTGGTAAGATTTGACGGCAGCGCTGATAAGGTAGACCCACAAGCTAGAGGGACTTTTGGGAGGGCTTCTATTAGAAGATATTTATATCCTACAGTTGAAGATGAAAGATCTTCTTTAGAAGCGGTATCAACTTCGGAGAGTAGCACTCTTGAGATGTCTGACGGCACGGTTATAAGAAAGGAAAGGAAGGGAGAGAGAATAGGAGGCATGTGGGGGAAGGTTTTCAGTGACCCTATGGTAGCAAGCAGAGATTCTACGGACCTCGGAGAAATGGACGTTGAGCTAGAGCAGCAACTAAGGGAAGACGGCGAATATGTGGATTCTAGTAGAGGGACATCTATCGGCGACGATAGTACTCTGGACGGGAACTCCAATGATGAGATTGTGATCGTCGACGGCCAGCTGCCTATGGAAGAGGGGCATAGACCTAGACTAGAAAATCCTATTGATATACCAAACACGAACACAGGCGCAGAGAGAGGTCTAGTATTAAATTCTCTTCCCAGAACACAAACGTCAGAGGACATAGCTACAGAAGGGATCGACAATAACGAAGCTGTTGTCAGTGCCTATGGGGCGAGAGAACAATCGCAGATGTGGGATAGTCAAACCAGTAGTGGTGGAAGTTTGCTGAGCACTGGCTATTTCACGGAAACTAATAGCAGTGATCATGTGAGTGTTGAGGACGTTGAGAATTTTCCTCTTTAATGCGTAGGGATAGGCCAAGAACTAGATGAAGAATAATTTAATTATGAGGAGGAGCTGAAATGATGGAAAGCATGGTGGATTTCATTCAAAACTCTTGCTTTTGTCAAGATTCTTTTTGAAGGTACTTTGGCTTCTAGTTGGTGGCAAACAACAGAGTCTGAATAACCTATTATTTTTTATGCGGTCCCAGTGCAATAGGTTGTTTTGAGAACGTAGAGAAGAATTTGTAACTAGATGTGTACAGCAATGACCAGAAAAACTTGTTTTAAAGGGAAGATAGAGCGAGTGATCGCTTGTGATTAAACTTACGGCTCTTTCCGAACGTTTTTAAAATACTGCTTCTGCATAAATTATGCCAGGGAATAGGGTTTTCTGTCCAGGGCCTACTAAAATACTCTCTAAATCTTTAAATTCAAAGGTTTAACTCGTTTTAACCCGGATTATTGTTTCTCGCCAGCCCTCAGCAAGCCCTTAGCCAATCCACTTAAATCATTGAGCTTTTTAAACAAACCAGAGATAAAGCCAAGGAGGGTACGTACCCATGAACTATACGGTCGCAATGCCCCTTACTCATTTGTGATGCCCGTGAGAATTATCATAATCCAGAATCCTGTGGCGCTGAGGCGGTGCAAGTCGCCCCATGAACAGCTGAACGCCAAGAAGGAGGCAAAGGCTGCGGCTCTTTTATTCCCGCAGTCGTCATCGGAGATCATTCGCTCCCAGGCCACAAAAACAAGCCCACCTGCTGTGAGCCGATCGACTCATAGTTACAGTTCATCCGAACGAGCTCCCCGCTTGAACAAAATCCAAAACCAAAGAAATAATACCCTCGGTCCTGGTCCTACTGTACAATGGCCTCAAGAGTCCTCTACCGGTCATTCCACCCCCTCATGCGGAGCGCTCGCTCGCCCATCCTCTCCAGCGCCCGTCCGAACCCAACCCTCCTTCTCCGGCGCTCGGTGCCGAAAGTCCGATTCAACAGCAGCAACAGCATCAACACTACCGCTGCGCCGGCACCGTCGCTGTCGCAGCGCCTCAAAGCGCTTTCGAAGGAGTACGGATACTCGGCGCTCGGCGTGTACCTGGCGTTGTCTGCGCTCGATTTCCCATTCTGTTTCCTGGCGGTGAGGTATCTGGGGACTGAGCGGATTGGGCACTGGGAGGAGGCGGCGGTTGGGTTCGTGAAGCCGTATTGGACGGCGCTGAGACATAGTGTGGGGTTTCCCGCGGCGGAGAAGGTGAAGGGGGAGGAGGAGCCTGGCAGGTGGGATGAGGTGGAGGGTGCGGAGAGGGAGGTCGAGAGGAGTGCTAGTATGTTATCCCCTTTTTGGATGAGCTTTTGGGTTGAGTGAAGCTGATGAGTGTTGCTGAATAGGTCTCTGGACAGAGCTGGCACTCGCATACGCGATCCACAAATCCTTCATCTTCATCCGAGTCCCGTTAACTGCGGCTCTTACTCCAAGGGTTGTCAAGGTGCTCAGAGGCTGGGGATGGGATATTGGCAAGAAGGGAAAGCCAAAGATCGGAAAGATCCCTGGTAAGAAGTCGAATTAGTAGCTATTAGGGTTTGGTACCATAGGATAGCTTAGATGAAACACTCTACTTACTTGTATCTTCTTTTTCTATTTTCTTGTTTTCTTTTTAACTGTTGTTGTTGGTGTTGTCTGGTATAGATAGAGCGAGCGGTGAATTGTATACTTGTGTTATATCAGTGTGGATTCTACTGTATATTAATTGGGAGAGTGGAGTCAATGATTGTTGTTGGAGCTAGCTCTATGAGAGTTCCTATGGCAATTGAGATGAGGTTCTCTCTCATTGACGTTTCACTGAAACAATTGCTACTAATTGAAACATCGCGGGGAGCTTGCATGCCACCACCCCGCCGTCAACTCCCGTCAAGTAAGTCTTGGCGTCGACGTCAATCCTCACAAGTGACAACCCCCAATGTCTAACAACCCAATTCCCACGTACCCCGATCATTGACGCTTCCCCTTACCAAAACACCTAATTAATAATCATAAACCCAAGATGTCGGCGACCACAACCGGAAACATCATAAAGCGCGTATGGTACACCTTCAAGTCCTACCGTCTGCCCTGGCGCAGGCAGACATTCATCGGTCCTCCTCCTACTCCTCCAATTCTACTTCTCTATCAAGTGGATATAGACGTATAGGAAGTAGTGCTGATATGGACTCCGTAAAAATAGGCATGGACCTCGACGGAAACACATACTGGGAAATGAACGACAAGCTCAACCGCGGGCGCCCCCGACGCATGGTAAAATACAAAGACCACCAGCAGGACTACGTCGACTACAAACTCACCCGTAACCCCTCCCTTCCTTCTAGCTTCTTCCCTCGTTCCTATCATTGACACAAGAACAGCCCAATGGCATCAATGGCTGCGCGCAACCCGCACCGACCCACCCACAATCTCCGAGCTCGAGGGCGACATCGTGCGCATCCAGCAGCTGAAAGTCAATGCCGCACTTGCCGACGCCCGCTGGGCAGCGAAGCCCTCACTACTCAATGTTGGGCCACACCCGCCGCCGGAGAGCGTGCTGGAGAGTAATACGAAGTTTGCGGGCGACAGTGGGATGATGAAGGATCAGACGCTGGGGCGGGGCGAGGTGGGCTCGGATCTGGGCGGGAAGAACGCGGAGAGAAAGACTGTGGAGGGGGGGAGTACGGCTGGGAGGGCGCATGGGAGTGGTGTTAAGGGTGGAGATGAAGGAAAGGGTGGGGTGGTGAAGGAGAGAGATCCATGGAAAAATGCGGACAATAGAACGGGGGGGTTTATGCCTGGGGAATGGATTCCGAATAAGGTGCGCAGGTAGAAAAGGTTTGTAGTTTGTGGTCTGCAGGATGGAGGATGTATGATAGGAATCTGCATTTCTACAGGAACTGAAAGTTACTTCTCATGTGGCGAATTCTAACTGTGATTTAGAGGATTTGTTTGACAGTCAACATCAAACATGACAAAAGATCATTGGCTAAACTTTCTAGGAATCATTTATCGAAGTATTCTTGTAAAGGAGAAAACTTTATGCACTTAATAAATTAATATCTAATTGCTAAGAATGTTCCCAGGTATCTCGTACAAATGAGCTAACATTATGTTTTCAAAAAATACAGTACAAAACCAACAAGTTAACACCACACCCATCAACCACCACATCATACAAGGTTCATCATATCCGCCATATAATACATTCCACCCCGTCTCATATCCTACACTCATACGCTACCAGATCGCAGCCACCGCCACACAAAATTTACTTTCGCCACCTGATATAAAAGTCCCCAACGATTGGTAAAGGGGGACTATCAATACCTCTAAGCAACAGCCATTAGCTAGAGACTTTACACTGACTGGCTCACAGGCTGGCTAGTCTGGCTCATGGGCCTGACACCCTTCATGTTGACCCTGCCGCGGCTAATGTTGTTCTGGTTCTTCAAGTTCCATAGATTAATCAACAGACTGCCCAAGAATGCCGCAAAAGCGAACCACTCGAACGCCGTCATGGCGTTCGCCTCGCGGCAACGCCGGCTCTGCGAAACGTATCCGCCACCGTTGGTGATGCCGTTATTATGGATAAAGTGCTGTATCCATCGTCAGCATCATACATAAAGGAGCTTGAAGGGGAAACTTACGAAGCTTTTGCAGGAATTTCCGTTGAGCTGTGCGGCCATGGCAATGCCGGCGCACAGATAGAAGATGGTGTTGAGGGCATCGAGAATTGTCATTAAGAGAGGACTCGCGATACGGTCTACTACAGTAGCCGGGAAGAGGTACAAATGCGTCACTGCTGCAAAGGCGGCGACAAAGATTGAGTAGTTCACGCGAGTTGGAGTGCCACCACGGGTTTGCTGCTGTATCAAGGCACCTGAGAGGGCGAGCACCAGGACCGTGAATATGAACTAATTTGAATTTTAATAACTTGCTGGACAAATGGAATTATCGGAATTCAGACCTGTAAAGTTCGGAGAATAATGTGGATCACTTTTGTTGCAGAAGGCATTATTGCTGATTTCTCAAATTTCTGAATTAGGAGGAGTTATCTGAGGTGGTTCAGGAAAAGGTGCGAAATGATTTCTGGTGAAGAGCTATGAAACGAGAAGGGTGAACGGCAAAGGGTCTATATACCGAGTTCATATGGGACCTTTTCTCTGTCATGATGAGGTATGATCTATGTCATTGATCATGATCAGACGAGCTTTCCCCACAAGCTAGTGGGCTAGTGGGTCAGCCTGGAGCCGAAAGAACACCTACGGAACAAACCTTAACTTTAAGGGTTGGAAGGCTGTTTTTTTGCAATTTGATCATTTCCCGTAAAACGAATCTGAGCTCGGATCTAAAACGTAGAAGAAATCAAGGAACCCTTTGGAGGTGCGCATGGGAAGTTTGAATTCCTGGTAGATTTTTATAATTTTGATTTTTATATCGGCTTTGTCTACGTTGTTTGTAAACCTTTGTTAAATTCTCGGCTACGACGTCATCCTTGACGCAGACGGCCAAGAAGCTAAACAGATCGTTTGGAACGGAATCAAGTCATCGGACACACTCCCATAAGCGACCTTCGGATAGAAGTGGAGTCTCACCTTAACCTCAACTCAGAGCCGCGACAAAGTTTGCAAGAAGGCGGCGAGTATTTACTGGAAAGAAAGAGTTTGTGTTTCGTTTGCAAATATACTTTTTGGGGCTTCATGTGTTTCAAAACCAAAGACCAAGAACACCCGAGTGATACTTTATGAGTCGGTCCCAAATCCTTGCTCTGATCTCGAGCGATTATCGACCATCATCGAGACCTCTTGTGATGGCAATTTCAAGAAAACAACTCAGTTTTCTAGCTATATTAGTGTTGATGTGATCCACATTTCACATTTCCGGAAGTGCCAACATCCCAACAATTTTTTGATGAACTACTTCGACCTGTGGGTCATCCTGGGCTGTTTCTATTATTACAATGGATACAGTCTCTACTAGAGTTGACTAAGGCATAGAGAAATAGTAGTCAAAGCCCTTGTTGTCGATACTCTCTGTCAAACTCATGCAATTAATGAAGTTATCAATCAATCTCTGTCCAACTCTCGAGGCTTTGATATGCGTTTTGAAGGCAATGTTTCCAATTTTCACCTTGATGTTTCTGGTGGTACGGTTCAGAGTAGAATATCGAGTCCAATATCGAATTGGAGATAAGACGGAAGTAGAGCCTCATCGGATCTCAGGGAGAGAACAGATCTTAGTAAATACATGTATGTAGTCATGTCTTGTTGTGAAAACACGTTCTACAACCTTATTTTCTAAATTAGCGTCCACAGGGGGGTTACAGTATCACGCAGAAGCATCTTTGTCCATCCATCATACCGCCCAAAAGAAAAGAAATGATCCAGGCAGCAAATCAAGTCTTTCAGGTGATGACACATGCGCCAGAGCCGTAAAGGAATCCTTCAAATTCTCGCCATAAAGGAGAAGACATTATTTCATGTCGCAAACAAAACCACGTGTTATTTTTCTATTCCTATAAGCGCATTCAATGATTATGACCACGTTTAAGGGACATAAGTACGCCATGTACTGTAGTACTGAAAGGTTTGCTTCGGATCCTAGGAAGTCACAGAAGACTATCTCATGTGTCAAATTATACTCCGTTTGACGGCATAATAACATCTGCGAAGTTAAACCTTAAAAGATAACCCTGGTGAAAAGCAACACTGTCGTACGCCCACCATGATCTTATGTGCTGCAATGCGTGTAACTCAAACCTCCGACCAAGCGATTTGATACAGATTGGGATGAATTGCGATTATGAGTTGTAACCGGGTAGGGGTTGTTGAAGGATACATGTAGTACATGTAGGTTAACATTACTGGGTGCTTTGTCCTGTGGGAGGTTTGGTTAACATAAAAAAGGCTCTGACTCGGATGGTACCTGCAGATAATATCAATACATTTATCATCTATCCTTCTTAATTACAGAAGTAATTACTTGTAGCTGCGTCGAATATTTGTGTCCTTTATCGAGTGATACATCATGAGGCTCGTCAACAAGCGGAAGTTGCATGCGGCAAGCTACATTTACAACTCTACTAGCCAAGACCCCATACCCAAACTCCTTTTGGTTAACTGCAAAGGCTTATTCGCTGGCTCCAGCCCGGCGCGGCCACAACCACTTTAAATTTCACGATGCCCACTTTTGTGTGAGGTGTTACAGAAAGTCCACCTTTTCCCCAACACACCATTTCCCCTCACTTTGTGTAGAGAAAGAAAATAACCAGACTGCTTCGTAGACTCCTTTGCCATCTCCATTTCTTTTCAACCCGGACCAAAAGAATTCTAAGACTTCACAAAGAAAGATAAACTCACTACATAACTAGCTGATTCGCTACACTAACAAGTTACAACCTCCCACCCCACGAAATCACATCCGTTTCAGCTCCACCAACATCTTGGTAACACTTTTTTTGTTTTTTCTCCTGCCCTTTTTCGTTTCCTGACCCTTGGGAAAATCTCACCTTCCCGAATCTTCCTTTCAACGGGCGTGGGGAACGATTACACAATCGTATCGTTGCATCTCTGCTGCGCACACCCTTGCGGCGGAAACGTGGGAACGTGGGGAAAGGTCCGGAACGATTTTTCTCCTTCCCTGGTTAGAGGTTTCTCGGCTGCTTCCGTACGAGGCTTGTTTCCACATTTAAGCTGCTGCTTCCCTCTGCGTTCGCAGGTGGAAAGCTCGTGTAGGAAACCGGGAAGTTTTGCGACTTCGAAGCCCCGTTCTGGGCGTGGGAATTAAGGAAACGAAGAGGTGGAGTCGTTATTGAGGGAATTTTTCTGCCGGAGGGGATATCAAGTAGGGCATCCAAATAAGCATAATTGCGAAGAGGATCAAAATTGGAGCTGGAGGTATATTGGCGATTATAATATTTTAGAGGAGGCTCTGAACAGTGACGTCGGTGCGTGCAGCTTGACGTTCGTAATCACCTTATCGCACCCATTTCAGACAGGACTTGGAGCTCTCCCCCACAGCAACCCCGACCTCACAACTCGGATCCCCCCCACCTGAGACTTTACATTTCCATCTTTCACATCCGAATACTTAGTCGCCATGCCGCAACCCTACACCGAAGGCGAGTTGTCTATACCGGCGTACCGGGGACAACATGGGTCATATAATTCCCATCGCACTTCTCCGCCCGGTCCTCAACAACCAGGTCAGCAACAATACTCCCAGTCAACTCAGTCGAACCGGCCGCACGGTCATGGCCACCACCACCGCCAAAGCATGGACCCTCGGGCCGATCTGCGTCTCAAAGCGAGGGACCCTGAGGCTCGCTTGGGACAATATAACATCATCAAGACCCTGGGCGAGGGCTCATTCGGGAAGGTTAAGCTTGCCGTGCACCAGGTCTCGGGGCAGAAGGTTGCCCTAAAGATTATTTCGAGAAAGAAATTAATCAATCGTGACATGGCCGGGAGGGTGGAACGAGAAATTGCCTACCTGCAGCTTCTGAGACACCCCCACATTATCAAACTGTAAGTACCCGCATATGCTCTTATATTCTACTCCATCTTTTCTCGGAAACGGGCAGGGAAGGTCTGTTTCTAGGCGGGAAGAGTAGCTATTGAATTATCGTTCAAGCGATTAGTCTAGGATGGAGCAGATACTGATCAAATATTTAGGTATACCGTGATTACCACAGCTACCGAAATCATCATGGTCATCGAGTATGCTGGCGGCGAATTGTTTGACTACATTGTTAAGCATGGAAAAATGGGCGAAACGGAAGCACGCCGATTTTTCCAACAGATCATTTGTGCAGTCGAGTACTGCCACCGTCATAAAATCGTCCATCGCGACTTGAAACCAGAGAATCTCCTCCTGGATGAATTCATGAATGTCAAGATCGCAGACTTTGGGTTGAGCAATATTATGACGGATGGAAATTTCTTGAAGACCTCTTGTGGGTCTCCGAATTATGCGGCACCTGAGGTCATTTCTGGAAAGTTATACGCAGGCCCCGAGGTAGATGTTTGGAGTAGTGGGGTGATTCTTTACGTACTCCTCTGTGGGAAGTTGCCATTTGACGATGATTACATCCCAACCCTATTTAAGAAGATTAGTCGTAAGTTGACACTGCCTTATTCTTGAACAACCATGCCCCCACTTTCAATCAAGACTCATGACCTCCCCTCGTTCGCTTATTACACGAGCATTCGGGTGAAACCGGTTATATCCCTTGATATTGTTTAGAGAAAGCTCACGCGTTTGAAATACAGAGGGTAATTATACACTTCCCAACTACCTCGGCTCTGAAGCTCGGAATCTCATCTCGAAGATGCTTGTTGTGAATCCCCTTCACCGAATTAATATCGAGGAGATCCGTAAGGATCCATGGTTCAAGAAGGATCTCCCAGATTATCTGCGCCCAACACCGGAGGAATTTTTTGATACTGGTGTGGACTATGCAAAGCTTCCGCCTTTGAGAGCTATCGAGAGGGGACCTGCAGAAAAGCTTGAGGGCGAGCTTCACGAAGCTGTTGTTGGGAAATTGGGGAAAACTATGGGGTACGCCGAAGATGATGTCCAGGATGCTCTAAATAAGCAGGAGCCCAGTGCGATCAAAGATGCGTATATGATTGTTAGAGAGAATCAAATGATGAGCAGTAAGTCGATCGATCATATGTCCTTGAACTTGGAATTAGTGTCACTATTTACTAATGTAAGTTTATAGCCCGTCTCTCCAATGCACAGAATATGGGGGGATTTCTTGCCCAATCTCCTCCAGCCTGGAATTCGTATATGCCATCGTCTCCTAGACACACGCCCGGACAACATCCTCCAGGTTCGCCGTTTTCTTCTGCAAGTCAAGGACCTCCACGTAGTGGCTCTCCACTCACCCTCATGGCGACCAGAGAGGGCCTAGGGATTAGCGGGATTCCAGAAGAAGTGGCTACCCCGGGTGATATTGGCCGTACTCCCAGTGCCACGATTGGTATCCTCCCATCTAGTTTGCCTGAATTCCACACAGCCTTCATGAGGGGTGGGCCGGTACCCTCACCAAAAGCCCAACAGCCGCAAGCACCACAAAGTATGCCCCCAATATTAGGTAGAAAGGGTCCAAAGCCGCACAATCCTCGTATTCAAGGCAAGGTTGAAGGCCTTACTCCGTTGAGTCAGTCAAGCAGGGACAAGAAACCTAGGCAGACTAGATGGCAGTTTGGCATAAGGAGCAGGAATTCTCCCCTCGAAGCCGTTGGTTGTATTTACCGAGGTTTGAAGAAGATGGGCGCAGAGTGGGTTGTTCCTGATCGCGAAGGCGAAGAGGAATGCAACCGCAGCGAAGGAGAATACAGTGGTTCTGAGTCTGAAAGTGATGGTGACTGGAGTGGCGATGATGGCAGGGACTCTCGTGATCATTATGGGTCACCGGGTAGAAGAAGGAGAAGTTCGTCCAGAGTGCACTCGTCTGTGGACGACACGAAGATACCAGAAGATCCGTGGGTCATTCATTGCAGATGGAGGAAAGATCATCTGTTCAAACCGACCTCTGAGGAGAATACTCCATCCGTCACTCCTGAAGGCACAAAACGTTACTCTTTTACCCCGGTGGAAAGAGAGAGGCACGGCGACGAAAGTCTTTACGTGCACATGGAAATTCAACTATACCAACTCGAACAAAACTTCTACCTCGTAGATTTTAAATGTGCGGGCTATGAGCGCATCGAGAAGGACGACCAAGACGAAGAAGATGATGACCAAGATGAGGACGACGGTCAGGATGATGACGGCGGCGAAAATGGCCAAGAAGAGGAGAAGAAACCCAAAAAGGTCGGCTTCTTGGAAGAATTGGGCGGAGATGCTAGCGGTGGTGGAGATATGATCAAGACCGACGGAGACACTCCAGCCTTGGACAGTGATGCAAAGAAGGATAAAGGTGTGGGTGGAAGAAAGCAAGAGGAGAAGGATGTGTCCAGTCCGTTTCCGTTCTTGGATCTCGCTGGAAAGCTGATTATCCAATTGGCTGCTGCTTCAGAAGAGTAGGCGTGTTGAGTTTTGTCTTTATCTTCGTCATCATTGCTTTCCTGTAGGAACTTTGCTTTATTCTTTTACCGTTTCTTTTTGTTGCTTTTTTTTTTTTACTGTGCTCTCTCCTCATTAGCTTGGGGCGAGATTATGAAAAGGGGAAATCTTAAGGAAGGAATATGGGCTGGGTATTAAGATATTATTCCGATTGTATTTAGTTCAGTGGAAGACGGGGGTGGTACACTTCTCTACTGTGGATTTTACTGCCGCATATGTTTTTCTGGTATTCTGATATATCCAATTTTCTTTCCGATCTACTTATGTAGATCTTGTTAGTTTGTTATGTTTCTAACCTTTACTTGAATGGAATGGCGTGAGAGGATGGGGACGCTGATATGACACTATCGGATGGAGTGTTGGATGGAGTGTTGGACGGAGGTTGAGATGTGGGCTCAGTACATGTATGCTGGGTGGATGGTAGAGGAGGGCTTTGAATTTTGCTTGGCCGCATGCACTAGCACCATTCTGTGGATGGTCTGCTGATGGCATTTACAAGATTTGCTAGATAAATCATGTAATGGAGCTTCTTATGGTGCTAGAATTCTAAAACATTTATTCTGTTTCCCTGTCGAGCGAGCTTCCTATAGCAGCATTGACTTTACATACGAATATTCTTTGGCTATAGATCTAGCAGTTACATTTCTTCGAATTGTGGGGACTACAATGCTTAGTTCGCAGGGAGCCGTTCAGCAGGGCATCAAAGTAACAAGGGTGGGACTGTTATGATGTACCATCTTTATTGTTATGAATCTTGGCAACGGGCTGGGTATCGACGATACATCAGCTATCTGCCGTCTCCGTCTGATATTGTTAGAGTAGGTAAATCTCTCCAACTCGTCTTCAATACGAGGAGTGAGCTAAGGATAATCTCATAAAAGATTCGGCAACCCGACGGACCAGTTCAAGGATACCATAATGAATTATCATTCAACCAGTTAATGAATTTTTAATACGGAAGAAACAGCGAGTGATTTTACATGATTTTGTGATTTCTTGCCATTAAAAGCGTAGAGAAGCATAAAAAAGGCTTACAGAGGCGCGTATGAAGGTTCATTTAATAATTTATTGATGAAAAAAATATATGCAATGCTATAATTCTAACACTACATACATGTATTATAGTGGTCACACCTTTGTGCTTGTAAAGCCAATCGCAAATTCGCAATCAATTATGTACCAATCGTGTAAAAGTACATGTGCCTGTTTCTCTTAATTCTAGCCGAAAATCAGAACGAAATTTTTGTTAAGATTGTTGGGGGGCTGCTGTCTCCCGCTTTATTTGAGTATCCGTCCACTTACCACCCGCCTCCCCGCCATCTACCACAACCTCTCTTCTCATCTCACGGATCCATCCAAAACCAGTCCGTTACCTCTCAAGGATAATCAACAAACTCAAGTCTCTCAAATAAACACAACCTATCATGTCTTGGGACGATTCCGGCCAGGTTAATTCCGGTATGTAACATTCATCCTTGTGCCATCCTCTTATTTCATCTTCTTCCCATTCGCCAGTTCTTATTCTCGAACATCCTATAGCATCTTGAGAGAAACTTCTCTTCTCCTCTGCTCCATCTCCAAACTTACTAACAGACATCGATTATAGGTTGGGGTGCTTCTGCCACCGAGCCACAGGGCCACACTGATTTCACAGGAGGCGGCGATAACGCCTACGATGATGGCAGGGGCGGTGGTAATGGTGATGGAGCTTGCAGACAGTATGTACCCAATTCTTTCTAGCCACAGCAAATAATCTCACTAACAAACAAGTTGTGGGGTTGAGGGACATTTTGCGCGTGAATGCCCTGACAAGCCAGCCAACGATGGCGCCTGCTTCAACTGCGGTCAACAAGGGTATGGTCCTCGGATTCTTTCCCCTTTCTCCTTTTTTTCTTCTTCTTTGTAAATGATGGCATACTAAGATTTTCTGTAACTACAGTCATAGTAAGGCAGAATGCACTGAGCCTCGTGTTTTTTCAGGAGCTTGCCGTCATTGTGCTCAAGAAGGCCATATGCACAAAGATTGCCCAAATAAGCCACCAGAAGTCTGTCGTAACTGTCGAAAAGAAGGTGAGAAAACCTAGAGACTCTCGACTGACCGTTACTAATCTTTGACATGATCACTAGGTCATCTTGCTAATGACTGTACGAACAACCGCTACATTGATAACAGCGGGGTTCTCGAAAAGTCTGCTGAGGAAGCATGGGAAGGCATGACTCTAGCCAACGAGGAAGATGACTTTGATGCATTCAAAACTGTATGTTTACCGCCAAAACATATATTCCAGTGGTCTTTACTGACAGAGTCCAAATTTAGTGCATGCTGGAGTACATTAAAGCTTGCCCTGGTGCTAAGTTTAACGAGTTGGAATCGTCTTTCAGGTCATCGCGCTGGAACTTTTATCTCTATGCACTAGTATGTCCCAAATAATAATCTTTTTATTATCTTACTTTACATCTAACATGTATAGACACGTGAGCCGGAATACTACGAGTGCATTGTTGGCCCTAATGGAGAACTTGATGCCAAATATGTTTGGACTCTCAACAGATCTCCCAAGCCCCGCCGCTCCAAGGCAATAAAGGATCGTATGGATCCGACTGCAGAAGGAAATCTTGCACGCCTTGAATTCGCTGGAGAGATCATGCCCGAGACAAAGCCTTTCTGCCATACCTGCCGAGGTAAGTGCGTTGAGTTTGAGATACATATATGTCTATACTAACTCTATTCTGCTAATAGTTAAGGGACACAGCAAGAGAGGCTGCGAGGTTGAGGCCCCTGAGAGGGATCGTGAACGTGTCGTTCTCAAATGCGGAAATTGCGACGCTCTTGACCATCGTCTACGCGATTGTACCCTACCACGCAAACCAGCCTATAACCCCATGGAATGCAAGAATTGCCAGTACGAACACTCCCAAATTCCCAGAATAAGACACATGCTGAGTAAATAAAAATCTAGTGAAGAAGGTCACAAAGCATCAGATTGCCCAATGCCACGCGTTGCAGATGAGAACACCGAATGCCGCAAGTGCAACGAAAGTGAGTCTTCATTCTTTGTAAGGGGTTTAAGAATAATGTTAATGATTGGGTTATCTACATATAGAGGGCCACTTTTCCAGGGAATGTCCCCAGGGTGGTGGTGGTGGGCCTCAGGTCTGCTTCAACTGCGGGTATGCACCTTGTCATATTTATATATCCTTCTTGTGTGTGCTGATTTATCACAAACTTAAAGTCAGGAAGGTCATCGCTCATCTGATTGCACCAACGAAAAGGTTATCAAGTGCCGCAATTGCGATGTGTTCGGCCATAGTGCTAGGGATTGTCCTATGCCCAGGGATATTTCCCGAATCAAGTGCAACAACTGTGGTGAAAGTAAGTCATCATTGACTCAATATGTGCAATCCTGACCCTGACATCTGTCGTGTTTTCTTTTCAGTGGGCCATTACAACCGTGACTGCAAAAACCCAACTGTCGAACAGGAAAGCGGAGGCTATGGATCATATTCGTATGGTGGCGGTAACGAAACCTCCACTGATGCGCCAGCGTGGGGTGGTAAAGAAACCCCCACTGATGCGCCAGCGTGGGATGACACCCCTGCCACGGATGTACCCTCTGGCTGGTAAATGTTGTGTGAATCCTTTCATTACAACCGTTTGAATTGAGAATCTTGGTTGAGTCTTTGCGTACATAGTTTCGTTCTAGTTTCTATGTACGTTCAAAGCACTTGATCGATCTCTGTATCTTACTGCAAAAAATTAAAATGATCTTGTCTTTTAGACCTTGCCTCGCACATACATTGTTTGGAACGAATTCTTATAGCAGATCAGATGTGACTTCAAGTAAGTACATTCCTCCAGGGAAAAGGTTCCCTCTTGAATCTTGAGTGCTTGTCGTCCTCTCCATAGGTAACTCTTATATCTGTTACTGGCTGTGATATTCTGGCAACCATGACTCGATATACAAGGCAGATGACCAAGTCGTAGGTTAAATGCCGACTGTAGCCTACTAAAGAAAGGCAACGCCAAATTTATATCGAGTGATATTCCATGACACAATGTATTATCCTGCCCGTAGAATCTATACAAAGAGCTACTTGGATACTCAGAATGATCTTTCAATTGAGTGGGTGAGGTAAAGGCGCTTCTTAGTTGGACGACGGCGATGGCGAAGTAATTCTACCTACGATCCTGCCAATCGCTTTGTAGGAGGTACAGCTTGTGGTTCTCGCCGTTTGGGTGACAACGCGAAGGATATACGTGTGTTGTGCTCCGGAGCTTTCAATCTCTCTTCGAAGCCTCGTGTCTCTCTCTCTTGCCTGGCAGAACCTTCCGTCGCCATGAGAGGTGGGGCTCTTGGCCTTGCTCTTCAAGTAGCATATCCAGTCCCAGTAAAACCAAGCCTTTTTTTTATACGCTTCAAAGCCACATGTAAGTTCTATTCCGAGGGAACAATTGCCTAGATTGATCGGATCCCAGCTTCTGCATCCTCATAGCTCGTCCTGAATGGAGCTCTTCGCGCGCAGAGACAGGGATATATTTATCCATAAGTGACTACAGACCTCCCTATTATCTCATTCTCTACACTCTTATCAGCTTTCAAGTATCCCTCATACTCAAGGTGTGAAAAAAAAAAAAAAAGCCGTGTGCTGTAGAAAAGGACCGCCGACGAGGCGCCAAGAATCGAGTGATAAAGTATGACCAAGCCCACCCACCACTCCTCCAGCTCTTCTTCTTCCTAGCTGCTGCGGGCATAGAGTCGTTATCTATGAGTCTTGACCAAAAAAAAAAAAAAAAGTTGCAAAGTATGTCTCTCTGGCAGAAGCAATGATCTCATAAGGCTAGAGGTGGAGGGGTGGAGATGTGCCGACTGGACCGAAAAGTCGACCGAATAGGAAGAACCGTTAGAACTTGGCACACAGGGGCAGAGGATTTTTTTTCCCGATGTGGATAATCACCCTGTTGAGAAGCACCCCATGACTCATCCCAGCGATGGTGGATTGTGCAATGGACTTATTGTGCCGTTTGGTTGCAGAGAAGGAGCGCGGTACTGGTGGTTCCATTGAGAAGGTACTGGAGAATTGGCTCTTGGTTCCCAATTCTTCCCCCTGGAAATTTGAATTGGTCTACGTGCTACGTTGATCTCCATGACAGGAATGTAAGCTCACCCTATATCATCACACCTCAATGGCAGCCATGAGAGCTACGAATACCATCCAGAACCTTAAGCTTTATTATAACCAAAACAGAATTTTATACATAAAAAAACATAGGAATCATTATCAACAAAATTTACCTACCAATTATTAATCTCACGCCCTCACCCTCCAGTCCAGTCCCACCTTCGCAATCCTACTTCCCGCTAGTAGAGTCCCACCAACCAGCAGCACCAACCCCGCAAAGAGCTGTGCCGCCCAGTAGCTACCAACCTTCATCTGAACCAACGCCCCTCCAATTGGCGACCCCGTCAAAGTGGCAAAACTTACAATAGTGAATACCATTCCCATTCTCGTACCAGCTTTTGAAAGGTCAGTGGTTAAACTACTCAGTGTGGCTGGGAAAAGGCTCTGAATTCCTGCTGCGCAGAAGCCGTAGACGCAGCCCCAGGCAATGAGTCCACCGTAGGAGGTTACGCGCATCCAGGATAGAGCGAGAATTCCGACGATGAAGCAGGTAGGAACAAGAAGGTTTAAGGGACCAACTCGGCCGTCTGCGTAGTAGTTGGGCACGAGACGGCCAGGCATACCAATGGCGTTCATGATGATCACCATATTGAAGGCAGTTCCTTGGTCAAGGCCAATTTGGGTCCGGGCAAAGGCGGAAATATAGAAGAAGGCAAAATATAGGCCCCAGAAGTTTAGGAACATTCCTATATCACCACCATCAACCGGAAGCTTGGAATTAGGCCTAGGAGCGCGGAAAACTTACCAGCGGCAAATAAGACGTATGTAAGTTCTTTAAATGCAGCCCATTCAACTATTGGGCCAGCTTTCCTCGGCTTTAATCTTGGCTTTAAGATAAAATTTACAGAGCCCAGGGTCACCACACTTATCAATCCCACTGTTCTCATTGTCCATGCAAATCCAACTTGCGGTAGTAGAGTCTTCACCATCACCGGAATGACTATTCCTCCAGTAGCTGACCCCGATGCCGCAATACCTAGTGCAAAACTCTTTTTCTTTTGAAAGTAGGTGGAGCACAGTGCCATACTAGGGCAAAAGAGCATTCCACCTCCAATACCAATACACAGGCCGTGTGAGAGGAATATTTGCCAGTAGGTTGTCGCACAGGAAGCTGTGAACATCCCCAGACAGATCATAATTGAGCCCGCAGAGTACATTGGTCGGAGATAGCCAGCATCAAGAGCTCGCCCGGTGAAGGTTCCGAGGAAGAAAAGGAGGAAGACCTGAATAGAGCCTACCCATGATATTGTTGAGGGCGTTTCATTGAATGCTTCGACGTAGTAGGATTGAAATACACCAAAAGACTGCAGTGGTCGCGTGAGTCATCAAATTCCAGAAATAATTAGGATTTGGCGGAAAACGATACATTTATGTAGCCCCTAATCATTGTCAGTAAACCAATCTCAATTGGACTCTCAGGAGCAGGCAGAATGCATACCAAGTATTGAAGATGGTGAGGTGTACCCCAAATACCATGAACCAAGCCTGCCAACCTCCATCTGGAGGTTTCTCAACCTCCACCGGCCCCACATACGGCGTTGCGTCCTCATGCTTCGATTCGGTGTCTGACATAATTATGATGACCCTCTATATCGCTCTCCTGTCGTAAATAATTGCTCAAGCAGAAAGACAAGAAGCGGGCGCCCCGCCTTTTAAGCCCGTAAAGCAGGCGACAGAGAGAAGCATAGTAAGTTTTCTGGTTTGTAATAATGGAGCTTTCGGATTTCGGAAAACTACCCGGGGACGTCTATCGACGCCAAATTTGACCCTTAGTGGTTAGCATTGTCAGGCTCTTAAGCTTGTATATGCCACTTTAGATAGTCCCTGGCAGGTTCGCCGGTAAAAGCTCGGCTCTGCACATTCTAATGCACCTTTAAACCCTATCAATTCGTTATAGGTACTAGTACAAAAAAAAAAAAAAAACCATAATCACGGAGAAGGGAGGCGGGCGGGATTACCGCGCACATCTCCGAATTCAACTTCCAAAGCCCTTATCATGCGTGCTTTTGCGATAGTAATTTTTTTTTTTTCCGTAAGTTCTGTGCCATGAAATCTGAGTCCCAGAAGAGGCCATCATGCATATGCGTATAAAATCTGATGTTGATCAAGAAGACATGCTCTTCGTTAGTATCTCTGTGTATAACACCACCGAGATTATGCCATTGCGCCATTGCCAAATCTTTGGTAGAGAGCATGGCACTCTGATCTGCACACTTCCTAGATATCTGAAAAACGTCAAACTTGATGGTTCTAGGGGCTAAAGACAATGCCGAGGGATACGCTTTCAGGAATAGCGTACATACTAGCATTTGCCATTAAGCGAAACCCAATTCCAACTCCAGAGCCCGTACAGCAGTTCTATCTCGCATGCCAAAGTTTCTGTCCAAGGTGGAGGGTCTGTGTGGGTATGTAATATGGGAGGGTGGTCCATTCACTCGTGAGTGTGGCTGGATAGGATGACTTGGACCGAGGATGAGACAGAGAGAAAGGTTGATTGGATTGAGACTCTGCAGGTGGATATGTGTAGTCACCTAGTCTCGTGCCTATTCCCTACGGCTACGGGCAGCAAGCTACTCACCGCAGGAGTTCATTAGAACTTAGTGTTGAACAAGCTGGGGAGGAGTTATCTACTGTACCTCCAAATTGGCCAAGAAGTTTATAGATAAGATTCGAAGAGAAGCTCGAGAATAGACTTGATGGCTGCTATACAGCATTCGTGTACGTACGTACTCCATGTACAGTATTTGGTAGTAGAGGGACACTTCAATGCCACTATTGCAAACAGTAGAAAAGCTGGAAGACCCAAACTCTAGCCCTCTGAGAAAGCCCACATACTACAGCAGATCCGGATAGTTCGGTTCATGCCCTCGAGTCAATGATAGATAATATAATATCAGGTAGGTAGAACCCCGCGGGCATAAGCATATGACGAAAGCTAGATCTTACAGTGTAGACCCTGCTGATGAAATATTCTAGAGAGTGACGGCACATTGACGCTCCCCTTAACCTTCAGCGTCCTTGTTGAGTACACCGATTTTTGCCCTGTTAAAATGCATAGTGGTGGGCTACTCGTGTGTAGGGCGTGGTGGAGTTTGGAAAGAGACTCGTGGTCCTATGAGTTTATTTAGCTAGGACCCCTTCTCTTTCTTCGCTTGATCACTTGCAATAAACTGACTTTACTCGTTCCCATCATTCAATGACAACAGGCCCTTCAGAACAGTCGGATACACCGGGACTTCTATAGCTAGCCATCAGTAGCCATAAAGCTCGAGGCATCATACACTACGGCTATCCCAGTCTCGAATCAACTAGCAAATAGGAGAAAACGAGCTTCCATTCGAGGACTTACATACGGTCCCCTCACTCCCAAAAGTCCTCCACTTCTATAAACATTCCCGGGCACGGGTCTTGCCAGATATAAAAGAGAAATCGATCAGCCACTTGACGCTCCCAAGGTCCGTCATGCATTCTTCAATGCCGAAACTACTTTCTGTATAATCGACAACTTCTCTCATACGAGTCTCTACTGATATCGATAGAGACCAATCCGCAGTCCCAGAACAGTAGATAATGATAGATTGAGATATCAGACCGCAATATATAGCCTAGTCTAGGTCACGGATTCATGCTTACTGCTTACATGGTTTGAATTGAGCCAGACCTTAACTTGACGGGGGGGTTCAGAAGGCTTGAACAAGTACAGACCACGCCCAATGTAAACCATGCCTAAAGTATGACCCAGATTACAGCCAAAAGTCTTGACCCCTCTTAAAACCTATCCAGCCGGAGCTACTTTAAATCTTTTTTTTTCCCCGCCAAATTTAGAGTGTTTTTATACCTCCAAGCTAGGTGCAGTTGCAACTTGTTTCTCGAAAAAGGCGTCAAGCAGGAGATATTGGGTTTACAGTCATATCCAATCTTTTCATTAAATATCATCTAGCTACTCGCATCTCAATCAACTGAAAGATTTGATTTATACTGGCCCCTCAGGAGCATGTAGTGCACGTGGTCTTCATAAATTTGCGATTCCATTCTTTCAAAAAAAAAAAAAGGTTAACGCAGGGCCAAAAAAAAAAAGAAAGAAAAAAAGGAGGGAAAAGAAGAGGATCCGACATGACTTGGAAAAGCACGGGATATTCTATACCTAAATACTTATCTGTAAAGTGTAGATTGCGATTAGATCTTCGCCCGTAAGCTGGTCATAGACGTGTCCCCGGCCCGCTAATCATAACGAATGTTTCAACGACCCAACCCACGTACCGGCGCCGCGCACTGTGGTGCAACTAAACCACACACCACCGCCTAAACCAGACCACGTTCACACTCACACTAACATGCATCATGTGTGTACCTCGACTAGCCCATCCATCAGTAGCTCACGTCCCCCACCCCGCTTTGGGCCTCTCAAGCACCACCATCTCAGCCAGCGTCACGACAAATCACTCGTGCCCAACCACAACCAATCGCAGACGGCTACGAAATTCTAGCAGTGGTACCAATTCCTTTAGTTTGATTTGATTCCCGATTTGCAGCTAGGGGGCCACCACTTCTACACGAACTAAGGGTTATGGAGAATGGTCAGTTCCTCCTCTGTATAGCTACGATCAATTGCTAAAGCTTCCAACTCTGGAGTAGTGGTCAGGATAATCCATATCATTTTTCAACACCGTAATACTTAGTAGACATAGCAACATCTCACACCCAATCAACAGCATATATTCACCCCCGACTAGTTACCTATAACAGCCACAAACCAAAACCAAGAAAGCGAACCCAATTGCCAAACAAAAACCATCCCTTTTCCGAGCCGGCCTCCCAGAAAAAAAAACCAAAGAGAAAATACAACAGAACCAGAACAAAAAGAGGAGCTGTAATGCAGTGGGGTTAACGGATTACTACTCTCTGCCTACTAGTCGCACCCCCCACCCAACTACATGTCTACAGTTACCTAGCTATGCAGTGCCCCGAAAGAAAAAGAGAAAAGAGAAAAAAGTAGCGGCCACGGTAGCTTAAAAGATACCATTGACAATCTTGCCACCGATTGTAGCACCGGCACCCTAAAACACACAACACACATTAGCAATCACTCCCCACAGCACACGAGGGGAACATCAAAGGGCACCCACAAAGATCGCCGCATTCCCAAGCTTCTTCCCAAACTTCTCCCCATTCTTGCCCAAAATCGGCTTCTTCTCCTCCTGCTGCTGCTGCTCAAACACACTCGTGTTCTGGCTAGGCCCATGCGCCACATCCGTCATCATATTCCCGCCAGGACCATAGCCGCCATATCCCCTCGGCGGCAAGCTCGGCAGCGCGGGCTTCTTCACGTCGCCAGTAGTAGCCAGCACCTGCGTCTCGCGCACATAGGCGCTGGGAAAGAGACCCGCGGTGCCGTCGCCGCCGACGACACGGCCCTTCCACCAGTCCTCCTTGACCTTCTCGAGGACCTCGAGCTTTGCGCCCGCCTCGAAGCTCAGGTCGCCGGCCTCGGTGCCGTTGAACGCCCACTGGGCCTCGGCGAGCGAGAGCACGAGCGGCGTGGGGGTGTAGGAGGGGGGTGCGGAGGGCGCGATGGGGAGGTGCTGCTGCTGCTGCTGCTGCTGCTGCTGTGGTTGCGGGGGTGGGGAGAAGGTTGGGTAGGAGACGGCGGGGGTGGTGGATTTGGGGGCGGGTCCCGCGGCGGGGGTCGGCGGGCAGCGGGTGGTGGATTCGGCGGGGAGGAGGGTCAGGATCTGGGACAGGGCGCTGGGGGAGATGATGGCGGTGTCGGCGAGGAATTCGAGCTCCTGGAGGTGGGTTAGTTTAGTTCGCTCTCTTTAGTTCACTGGGGAGAGAGTAGCGGAGAACGCACAGCTCGGATTGTCCTGATGGAACGGTTTGCGAGTGCTGTTGCTGTGGCGGCAGACATTGCGTGTGTGTGTGTGCGTGTGTGTGCGAGTGTGCTGCTTAGAGGAGCTCTCCGAAACGATTGGAATGGGGTGGGGTGGTTGTGGGTGTGTACGGCCTGTAGGTGGGTGACTGTGTAGACAGGAACGTATGCAAATAGCAGACAGGTAATAATAATAAAAAAAGGATGGAAAGACTCGAAGAGAAGGAGAGAAGAAGAGAAGAAGAAGAGAAGAAGAGAAGAAGAGAAGAGAAGAGGAAACAGCTGTCCGTCCCCAGGTACTCGTTCTACCCTGCAGCCACACACACACACCGATCACTCATCCCAGCCAGCCAGCCAGCCAATCCCCGGCCCCGGGCTGTGCTGTGGACGTCCCCTCTAGCCTAGCCGCCCCAGACGAGACGGAGACGGCACAGCAGGGATGCAGAAACACATCAACACACCCGGCAGCCATCCTTCCGTGCTGTCTCGCCCAGGACGAGAGTTGAGAGCACCCATTCCCACAGCTACACACCCTCACCGCACACACCAGCACACCAGCACACCAGCACACCCACCCCCAACCCTAGCCCTAGCCCGCCGCCGATCGGGGCCGGGTCGGTAATGATCGGTATCCAAATATGACGTAGGAACCGGCGAGGTCAAAGGAACCCAACCCACAGCCAAACCTCTCCCCCACCACCACCACCACCACCATCACCTACAACCACAACCACAACCACACACACCCACCCACCCACACCACACAATGCTCTCACGAACGCTCCTCCGCGCCCGCCTCTCCCGCCTCTCCCGCCACCCCCCTCCCCTCCCCCTCCCCCTCCTCCGCACCTACACCTCCCGCCACGACCCCTCCACCACCGCCCAGCCCGGCAGCACACCGCCGCACTCCCAGCCCTCCGACACCGGCTACACGCCCCCCGAGCACCACCACTCCAAGCCGCCGTCCCCGTCCCCGTCCGACGCCGCACAGCCAACACCCACGTCCACCATCCCCCACGTCGGCACCACCAATGCGCCCCCGGAGATGGTAAACGGCGCTGAGCCGTCGACCCCCATCCTGGCCGGCGAGCGCGGGCCAGGCCTCGCCGGCATCTTTGGCGGCCCGGGCGAGAAGGAGCTCGGGGTGGGCGAGATGGCGGAGGCCAAGTTCCGCATTGAGCCGTTGCGGCGCACGGGGGAGGATCCGGCGACGATGAGGGCGAGGCTGCTTTGTCAGTGTCCCCTTCCCTTCTTCCTCCTCCACTACCCGTCCAATGCCACTACTAACACAGCATCAGACCAATCCCGCAAGCGCGGCATCCTCGAAACCGACCTCCTCCTCTCCACCTTTGCCGACGCCCACCTCCCCACCATGACGCCCACCCAGCTGCACCAGTACGACCGCTTCCTCGACGAAAACGACTGGGACATCTACTACTGGACGACGCAGAACCCGCCCACCACGTCCACCGAGTACGCCGAAGGCGGCTCTGCCTCCCTGGCCACGCCTACCGCCGCCGGCCACTCGCCCTCCGCCGCTGCAGAGGCCGCCGCCGAGGGCACGAGTGTGTCCCGCGCGACATCGGCGCGCGGGAAGAGCGCCGACGAAGCTGCGGCGGCCGCCGCGGGCCAGGTTGCTGCGGGGGGGGCAGAGAGCCAAGAGGCGAGTGGGCAGGCGGCGCCGCAGTCAGAGAGCCAGATGCAGGGCGCGGGGTCAGGGACGGGTGCGCCGCTGGGGTTCGGGGAGAGGCCCGTGGGCGAGTGGGCGCAGACGGTGGGGCGGGTGAAGGAGCCTTATCGCCCGCCGCCGAGCCGGTGGAGGGATAGCGAGATACTGCGGATGCTGAGGAGCCATGTGGAGGCGAGGAAGGGGGGGGTGATGGGTGGGAGGCCGAAGGGGTTGGGGATGATGCCCGAGGTGAGGCAGTTTTAGAGTGGTGGGGGGGGGGGGGTGTATATAGAAAAAAAAGGGTTCTTTTTTTGTTGTTGCTTTTTGCTTCTGTTTTTGCTTTGTGGTGGTGGGCTGTGGTGAGACGAGTGACGACTTGTGATGTTGGGTCTTGCTTCAGTTTCGCTGGTCCCTTGTAGTATTATTTTCATGCCTCATAGAGCGCAATCATATGCCATCACTCGAGCCTTGGCGTGATTCCCAAAGGTCGGATTTTAGATTTTGCCATCAACTGCATCATCAAAGGGGCTTCATTGGTTTCTATTCTGAGAAGTTACTAGTTGTTTGTGGGCCTGGGCACTTGGAGAGTGCAGGACATATACCCCACAAAGTTTGGGGGGGGGGGGGGGGGGGCTCTAAGCCAGAATTACGGGTAGGTATATACATGTATGTGTGTCCCTGGTCCCCGAACAAACTACACCCTACACCCTCTTTTCAAATGGGAGCTAACGGTCTCTTCTGACCCCTCTCCCCTCTTCCCTTTATTATCCCTCTCCTTGCGTCTTTTTTTCCTTCTTTCCTTTCTCCCCCTCTTTCTTTGGAGATGATAATCAGCATGTCTTGGGCGGTTTTCTGTGGATATAGATTAACACACAAAAATATTTCAATTGAACTTCCATCCCGCACGCGCAACGTTTCCCCAAACAAATCTCCTACGTATCACGACGATATGATGATGGTTTTAGTGTTTCTTTAACGCCGGCTGTCTTTAAGGAATCCGGTTTACAATATCTGTTTATTCCCAGCATGGATTTACAAGTCCGTACCCGTACACCAGTCCCGCCGACCCGTCCAACTTCAAAGGCACCCGAGGCCTTTCGACGTTCGATAAGGTCCTTAGAAAGGATCTTTTGCATACTTTTATCATAGCCCACCTTCATTAGCAAAGCTCCCAACGATCGGTTTCCTTCCCATCTGGGCACGCGGTCCTGAGGTTCTTCCACGCGGAGGTGCAGAAGGGCCTAGCTGATCTAGTTTCTGTATTCATGTCAACTTAATACGCTCCCAATTTTGAAGAAGTTTCTGATGGTGTACTTGATCAATCCTTAGCTGAACATCGTGGCTGCATCGATTCCACTTCGTGAAGCTCTTTTGGACCATTGAAGCAATTTTATCTCTGGGCGGGAATCTGTTAACAACATAGATTAGCTATCTATCCGTGTCATTAAAGATAGGTGGTAACCAAGACGCACATCCTCTCAAGCAGAACCTGTCTAAGCCCGAGGACAATCTCCCATCCCGCCACCGATTTTCTGATGCCTAGGCCTTGAAGATGGTTATGGCTAGTCTCCCAATCCCCTCCAAATTCTTCTGACCACAGATACGACAAATATTCAAGGTCACAATAGTCAGATTCTTTGTTTTTCTTATCCCAATAACTTAAGGCAGCGCTCACAATCTCGCGGCTTGAAAGATTGGGGGCAGGAATATTATCTTCTTCTGGCCTGGTAGCCATGCCAGGAAGCGCCAAAGCGCCGTCGAGATTGCCCGTCATCCAGCAAAAACGATTGAGATATTGACCATCAGAGCTACCGTCAAAATCTTCAAGTTCTTTCAGCTGGATGTCTCTCTCAGCTGGGTTGAAGGTTCGCGACTGAGACGAAGATGCTCCAGGCGAGTCGTCAAATGAACATTTTTGATGCTTCTAGCTTATGGGTTAATGAATGTAGGCGAATCCGTGGGGGAACCAGTAAGTCTTACCAAAAGATGCAGCTTCCATACTTGTTCAGTCAGGCCATTCCATACTTCATATGCTGCACTAATCAGCCAAAGGTTATCTTGATGAGGCGGGTATCTGCAGGATCAAGTCAACAAGAGATTCAACTTTGTCATATTAGGGAGGGCAGACATACTCTCCTTTCTTCCACAACGCTTCTAAGGACTCTACTACTTGAACTACGGCCTCTACTTTCCGCTCTCTAAGAGTGGTCTCCAGGTTTTCCAAGTCGCTCTTGGAGAGACCACTCCAATGGGGTTCTTGAAACGCATCACAAAATAATAGATCAAGATCTGTGTAATTCCCCGCCCCTGTATGAATCCAGTAGGCCAAGGTATCCCGAACACTGTATTCTGTATTGAAAGTGAAAGATGTATAGACTTTCGCTTGTTCGGGCTTATCGAAGGATGCTGGGGTGTAGCTGTAAGTGATGAGGGTGATGTTCACTGGCGTTGAATGATAAACCATGGTTCGAGGCTTTGCTGAAGGTGAGGATATATTGAAACGGAGGTACTCCCGTGGGGATTTCAATACGAAGCTAAATGACATGGAATCACTGAGAAGTACATGAGGGACGATGAAAATAATCTCTCTCTGTCACAAACTTATTGCCTGTCATTCCTATATGTGGCATCACACCCCCATGCTCCCGCAAAAAATTGAAGCCACCTCTGACTGCTGTATACAAAAAAACAAACTTGTTTATCTTCCATATATTTCTAGCACCCCACCCAACCCTCCGCAGACCTAGCTAGTTCGACTAACAGTTCCGAGTCTCTGGTCATAAAATTAGCCTCTTTCCTATAGTTACACCGGTACCTCTGTGAGCCCACTTACCGCAGCTCGTAAAGCATTCCTCAATCTTCGTCCCATCCTCGAGGCAGTCAGGGAGACAGAAGTTGTAGGCCAAGTCGTCTTTGCAGCGTGGAGGTGGGATATACGATTTCTCGTTCAGTGCTTGGGCAGCCACAGCAAGGATAAAGCTTGTGAGGACGATGAGTAGTTTCATTATGTGTTTGTTGGATGCTGGGGAATCTTATTGATGCAAGTGCCAGGCTTTATCTACATTTTTTGTAAGAGGCTGGCATCGAGACAGGAGATGCATTCCTCAAATTTTCAGAGTATCATCCCTTTCTATACTTGTTAACTTCCCAGTGCGCCGTATATATTCTTATCTTCAGTCCCGGTCGACTACGTAGAATTGATGACATTCTCGGCCTTGGAGTTATCAAAATGGCATTAGTACCTCTTGAAATCTTCTATACCCTACTGTTGACGCCGGAGTGACTTTCTAGCTCACTCCATCAAGTACATAGCTGTAGCTATCTAGCTCTCTGTACAACGAACAAGCCAAGCTAGGGGTACTTACATTATACCAATGCAAGGGGCGCACCCATATAGCCGATATGGGTTGTTCTCCGCCCCGGAGAATAGTTCCTTGCCTTGTGATATGCGGTGATGTACTGCTGAAAGAGGTCACCGAGTCTTTCGACGTCACACTGCTCGTACACGTAGGGCACGTGATCGACCACGCACTCCCGCATCCATAGTTGCAGCAAGGAGAGAAGCAGCTGCGGTAGGCCAGCAGTAATAGAAAGTTAGCCTGCGGGTCAATGGTTCTCATGATGCACAGCGCATGTACTTGAATAGTTGTATAAGCTATCCTAGAACTGGGGCAGGTGATAAAACTTCCTCTGGGCCCAACACGTGTTTAAGAGACCGGTTAGAGATTTGTGCTTTTATTATTGTATCCTTCCCGGTCTGATAAACACCAAAACGATGCTTGGGTGTTGCGGGAGTGTTACCACTCGGTCCCCATCCTGCAGGAAATCTGTACGCAAAGATAAACGCCATAGGAGATTTAGACAGAGGTAATGGCCTATAACCTAACCCTTCACATATGAGACATATTAGCTTCAACACCGAGCGAGTACATAGGATTCTCGGGCTTATGGGTGTTGATGAAGCGAACATATGTATGTCGACACCGCTAGAGTTACTCAACCAACCTACTAAAGTCATGGAACCAATTGTAGCATAGAGGGGATATTCTGCGAAATTTCAAACGGATGGGACATAGAGGGCTAGGACCTCATCGTAACTAGAACTTGGCAAGTTTTTGAAATTTATGGGGTTGAAAGTTATGAAATCTAGATGTAGATGTAGGGAAGGAAGTCGTAGGCTGGTGACTTGGTGAGATCCTTAGCCGTAGGCGATATCTTTCGATTCCTAAAAGATCCCGCTACTAGCCACTAATGTCTAATAGATTCGTCAGGTTCTTTTTATAACCTGACCTAAGTGAGTATGATGGCCGTACGTGGTTGGTTCTGCTTGTGTGTATATTTCATACTGTACTTAGCTTGATTTTGAAGCTTGATATAACCGGTGATTGAAACTTTGAGTGACATGAATCGTTGAACAAGATTGAAACGAATGATACTTGTATTGGGCTACACTTAAAACCTTTCTGTGTGTTAAAACTGCCGAGAAATTATTCTACGGATATTGTAAATGTTGTATATCTAGCTTCATGGATTATCACTCGGTCATCATTAAATTCGAGGTGGCTATACTTACCATTTTCTTGTCCATCACCAACCACAACCAACAACGAAGAGCCAAAGAGGGCTACGTAGTCCAGTGAAATATTTAATTGACGTCTCTCGTTGGTTCTTCTCGGTGATCCTTCCTACAGTCTTTTCAAGTTTCATCAAATCCTTCCTCGTCACTATCATCCCCACATTCTCGACGTTTCATAATCTCTTTGATATCCCCTTCAGCAATGTCTCCTCCGAAAGGCAACTCTAAACTTCCTACCGTCGGCACCATTAAGTCCCTATCTCGGGAACGTCCCTGTGTCCGCTGCCAAACGGTTTTACATCAACAGAAGATGCCCACCCAGGACACCACCAACCCCGCAGAAATGGTCCCCATCAATCGTGCTCTCTATGTAACTCGTTACACGTTCGAGCAGATCCTCGACTTTGGCAGGCTCCGCTACCATTGTTTCCTTGACTATAACAAGAGCTACAACTACTGTGCCGAGAACGTCTGTCTCCGCGCCTTTTATGATGCTCTTCTTGCAAAAGACGAGCGACGCCAGCGTCTCTCCGCAAATTCGTGCGTAAATCTCTTCATGCCTACAATCCGCAAGGATTATGCGGCGAGGATGCTCATGGGGCCGTGCTCGGATGAGTACGATGACTTGTACACTGGGGCACGCGGGCCCCCGATCAAGCTCCAGGTTGCCACGACCCCGAGACAACTAATCGGGCTGGAAGTCACTATCCATAATTCCCCAAGAGTCTATCCGGCCGCCGGTGTCAATAATGCCATTAGGAACACTCATCCGAGGGTTCTCACATTTGAGCGCGAGGAAGTTGAGCTTCAGAAAGAGCTGGAGAGGGGGCTATTCACGGCTGTAGTTGCAGGTAGGCGCTGTTGGGTCAAGACAGCGCGCTTTTACCTCAATGCGGATTCGTTTCGGCGTGAGGTAGATGCGATTGTGAGAGCCCCGAGGCAGCATACAATTCAGCAACTCGTAGGGTTCGTGGTTGTCGACCGAATTGGTGCGAATAAGGAGGGCGGGGAGATGATTGATGGAATTGTCATAAGAGCCCGTAAAGGCAGGGTCAGGCAGTTGAGAGGAATTCCCTCCTGCACCGGGGATGAAGGATGGAAATGGAAGAGCCAGATTGGTGGAGCGGTCGAGTTGTTGCATAGGGCGGATATAATCTGGGGAAGGGCAATCCCGGATAACGTCATGATAGACCGCGATGGAAATGCGCTCCTCATCGACTTCGCAGGTTGTCTCGATGGGGACACGAGGAAGGCCGATATGGATGGATTGTACGCGATCTTCGGCTTCGTTGATAGCATCACCAACAAACCAATTGACAACGACACGGACGGGTACTCGAGCGAGGATGAGAACGGGCTTCAGGGGAGCGATGATGAGAACGAGCCCCAGGGGAGAAGTGATGATGAGAACGAGTATGGGGATGGCAAAAAGTTTTGGGGGAGGAGCGATAATGAAAACGAACTCGAGGTTCAGGGCGACATTGATGCTGATGAAGACGAGGCCGACATCTATGCCGCCTATTGGTAGGAAATACGCTGGTTGAAATTGGTGTTTGAGCGGGGATGGATAGTTTTCTAGAGTACTGTCTTGATTTGTTGTCACAGTTTCGGGTACTTGCAATTAGTTAGAATTCTCCCTGTACCACGATTTTCTACTGTACCTAGTTCTCTGGAAACATGTATGACCGTACACGTTAAAATAATATAATGCTACTTCTTGCAAATAAATAAATAAATAAATAAAAAAAGGGTTTCCGTGCCATATGCACATCTTCTAGGGGGGGTTTTCAGGTCCATGTGCTTCAATTCATTATTTGCGAGTCATTATCTAGATTACTAGAGCAAATTGGATAAACCCACGGTTTTGAAAGAGAAAAAAAAATGAATCCCCCAATCGAAATCCTACAAAATTATCATTACCCTCGACCACCAATCATAGTAACATGTGCTTACCCCACCACCCAAACGCCCCCACTCCGACCACTTCAAGGTGTCCCCGGCCACAATGTCCGAAACCTAAAAGCCGCGCAGACGAGGCAAGCTACACGCTCGCGCTATCCTGTAATCATCACGGCACCTATGTGGCGAGGCGAAAGTCCACCTTGTAAGGGTTCAAGATAGTAGTAGGTTACGTACGCGGTACTTCCTGTGTCGAGTAGGGAGTAACCATGTAGGTATTCAAGTAGAGTACTCTATGTGTAAGGTGCATGTGTTTAGAGTGATATTCTGGACTGAACATCCCTTCGCGTTTCAGATATTCACTCTACCACCCCCTTTTAGATAGGGTGGATTGAGGATTGGGCATGATCATATCAGGGTAGGCGTAGAACAATATTATTAGCCTCCCGCCGCCTGGGGAAGGAACTATTTCTAGAAGTCTATAATTGGTTTCCAGGGTCTCCCGGGAGCAAAGAGGGCTGACGATAAAGTACGTAGAAGAGATAGGGTAGGACGCGACATCCCGGATTCCACCAAGGCGGTAGAGTAACACATCTCGGAGATTTCTTTGGGATTTGTAACGTTTATCAAAACGGATCGACTAGAGCATATTCCAGCCAGGCCCTAACTATATCTGTGCAAACACGGATAGCAAGGAGAATCATCAAAGCCACGCACCGGAGTTCGGAAACTCTCTATCCGAGACCTGTGAGTTGGTATTCCGTACGGTAGCAACAGATGCCTTCGGTAGCAGATATGAAATATCAATGTCGAGGATGTAGGTACTGTGCTGTTGGTTTCCGTGCTAGAGTAGGTAGGCTTGTAGAGTGGGTCTAACTGCCCAGCTATGCAGTTCAAGTAGGTAGAGTAGGTACATGTACTCCAGACACACTTGGTGCTCTACACTAACTCACTGCAGCTGGTAGGGTAAATTAACTGACCAACCAGTCAGTCTAAGTGACATTCCCACGAGGGTAAAGTGTAAAATCGAGTGAGACAGTGTGATTGTATTCGTCAAAGGATATGTACATACCAAGCCAAGAACCAATATAATAAGCTCGATCAATCAATCAATAGGGTTTCGTAACACCACCCGGTCATCCGGACGCCGGAAGGCCAAGTTCGTCTTGGAATTCAGAGAAAACCTACCAGCCACTCAAGACTCGAGGATTTGTAGAGAGGGGGTGGGGCACGTTTTTTTAATTAAACCTCTTGGTACATATCATATCTGTGACACTACTCTACCACTCGATCAACACAAACCTTCCGATAATCATTCCAGAATACCGGATCTTAGAGTGTCAGTTGCTTCAGCTTGCTGCTGCTGCTGCATACATAATCTTCCACGAATCTAGGCTCTGCACGTCCCACACGGAAGAACTAAGAAGCGTAATTATCTGACAGCTCGTAATAAAATAGAGTACCTAAAGGAAAACACCGAAAAAGTCAAGTCTGCGTGGAAGATACAAATTAAGGAGGAACCCTAACCCT